GCATCCCTAATCTCGGAAGCTTCGGTGTGTTCTGGTCACAGCCGGATGTAGTCCAGAAGTTGCCAAAGCGAGGTCATAAACCACTGTCAAACCGCTTGTGGGGCTCCCCTGAGCCCCTTCACCCCGCAGCCTGAAGCAGAGTGCAACGCTCTCGGGTTTAGGGTTTAGGGTTTAGGGTTTAAGGTTTAGGGTTTAGGGTTTAGGGTTTAGGGTTTAGGGTTTAGGGTTTAGGGTTTAGGGCTCTCCGTGCAATCTTGGGTGCCTTGGGGCCTTCGGCGGCCAGTGTGGCGTAGGGCCCGCCTGGCACTAGGCAGTGGTTGGGAAGCTCCCCATGCCCGGCCCCCAAATGCAGTATCCCCCCTTATCCAACCCAAACCCTGACCCTGATCCCTGCATCATCCACGAAGTAGAGGGGGAGAGAAGAAACCCGAATTAACCACTGAACCTAAACCCTCAGCCCAACCCCTAAACCCTAAACCCTAAACCCATCATAGACCACGGACCATGCAGCGGGGGGGAACCTCCAACCCGAAACCCAAAGCCCATCCATCCATCATGCAAGCCAAAGGACGGGCGATGGGGGGGCGGGGGGGGGGGGTGCGTTAATGCTGGCGCATAAACCCTGCACATCTCAACCCTGAAAAGCCTTCATATACCCCATAAAGGGTATAATATTCCTTCTAGGAACCGCCCTAAACAGCCTTCATAAACCCCAAAACAGCATGACCCTCCTCACAGGAACCCCCAATTCTACCCAACACCCACCCTAAACCCTAAACCCCACACACCCTAACCCTAACCCCACGCACGGCTGTGAACCCTGGAGGTGAGCCTCCAAGCTGATCGTCGTCCACCTTCCAGGTTTGACTTTCTTTGGCGGGAAATCAAACCCAGAGTTTAGGGTTCAGGGTTTGCAGTTTGGGTTTTGTGGGGTTTGGGGTTTAGGATTTAGGGTTTAGGGTTTCCCGCCTCCTCCTCGGAGGTGTCAAAGCACTCCTCCTCGTTCTTGCCCATGCTGTGCTGAGAGAAAGGGGGGGTGGCGCTAGGGAAAGTGGACGGCCCGCTGCAAGGAGGACGTACACGGCCTGTATGTAAACAGACCTACCGTCCTCCGCGGCTGAGCTACGGCAAGATGCTTGGTCTTGCCACCTTTCCTCTGTATGAGCCAGTCAGCCAGCAGACAAGGCATGGCATCACTGTACGCAAGGTCGAAACTCCAACGCGTTAAGAACTGTTTACATTAAGCCACATTAAGCCCTAAACCCTGAACCCTAAACCCGAAACCCTGCTTGACTGCTTGTGCGCACTTGTCAACGAGAGAAAATCTCTCCTCCTGGGTCTTTGCACCAGGCTGGAGCGAGAGCAACCAATCCTCGACAAGGGGGGATGCCCCCCCCCCCCTGGTGAAGGCCAAATGGATCTGGTTTAGGGTTTAGGGTTTAGGGTTTAGGGTTTAGTTTAGGGTCCCAGCGGAGCCCTCAACAAATGAGAGGTTGCAACCAGCTCACAGCCACAAGCTGCCCTACTTATGGCCCTTGACCGTGCACCCTAAACCCTAAACCCTAAACCCTAAACCCTACTTATAACCCTACTTCTACTCATAAGACCTCCTTAGCCTTGCACCCTGAACCCTACTTATAACCCTACTTCTACTTATAAGACCTCCTTAGCCTTGCACCCCAAACCCTACTTATAACCCTATCTAGACCTACAAGACCTTAGAAGTACCCAGGAAGCATCCGCCACATGACATGGGGACGAGGTTGGAGACCGACTCAGGCCCGCACCACTAACAGCTCCTGGAAGTATTTCTTGCTTGTTCTTCTTGTTTTGGGTGGGGATCCAAAAATGGGGGGGGCTTAGGGCTTTTGGGGTTTAGGGATTAGGGTTTACTTAGGGTTTAGGGCGTCTCGCCGACAAGAGGCAGTAAGTACCATGTGGAAATCGCGCCCCCGGGGCGGCAAAGGCACATGTTTCCAATGCAGTCCAACAATTGTGTTTGGTGTTAGGTTTCTTTCTCCCCCCCCCCGCTGTGAGCTTTAACAGGCCACCACCCAAGTTATTGCCTTTTAGGATTGAGGGCCGCCGCCCTCAATTCCCACCATGAAAAACGCTACAATTTTGGGGGGCCTGTGACGGAGTGGGGAGATGCGGCCAGGGGGTCCCAAAAACGTCTCAGGATATCTAAACGCGGGAGTCTGAGGATTAGGGTCCAGGGTCTAGGGTCAAGAGTCTCGGGTTTAGGGTTTAGGGCGTTTAGGGTTTAGGGGGTTCCGAACACAGGGTTGCACCCTTTTTGGGGGGCCTCCTGTTTTTCAAGGATTAGAGTACTTTGGGTGCCTATTAAGGGCATCCCATATTTAGGGGGAAGGCCCCTTCAGAACGGCAGCATCACAGCACGCATCAGCTTTCATGAGGGTTGTCCACTTACAATTCGGAGCCATATATGGGTTAGTTCTCTAAGTTACTAAGTTAGGGTCAATTCGGGGTCCCCTATAAAGTACGGCACACTTATAATAAGGACCCGATTTTGGAGAAGTACCCATATGCAGTGTAACCAACAAGGTCCTTGCCCATGGAGACTGGCAGCTGCCTTGCAACCTCGCGCAACTTTTCCATGCAGACGTCTAGGCGAACAACCGCACCCTTGGCCAGCGGCTGGCCTCATCGAGCTGCTGCGGCGTGAACAATAAGCCGGCCTTCACAGCTGCCACCTGATGTAGGTCGGAGAGGCCAGGAGACAGGCCCACAGAAATGGCTCGTGCTGGGGCCACTCACCCTAAACCCTAGACCCTAAACCCTAAACCCTAAAGGGGTTTACGTGGCGCTTGGAAACCATGCGGACTGCCGACCTGGAACTCGCCGAGCATAGCTTCCAGGCCGGAGACGGTGCTCTGCACATAGAGCCTCAGCGCACGCTGCAATACACAGCGTGGTCTAGGGTTTAGGGTTTAGGGTTTAGGGTTTACTACAGCCGCGTTGCTGCTGGTACTACAGTACGAAGCTGTGTTATTCCACTATAGACAATAATACTGCATAAACAAACGACATCTTCGAGTATTTCGAGTGTTATTCCACTATAGACAAGAATACTGCATAAACAAACGACATCTTCGAGTGTGACGAATACTTGAGGTGGCTCTGAGGAGGCGGCTTTGCGGCTGTGACATCCTGGTCTATGAGGCTGAAGAAGTCCTGCCAGAGAACCGCAAACCCTAGACCCTAAACCCTAAACCCTAAACCCTAAACCCTAAACACCCTAAACCCTGAACAACCGAAAACCCATCAATGTTAGGGGCTTAGGGCCTGTTGGGTCCAGGACCCTCAACGCTCGACAGGGAAGAGCCGCCGACCTCTTGGGGACCCACGACTCGGGGGTTCGTGGAGCTGCTCGCGGCCTTTCAGGTCACGCGTTCCAGTCGCAAGAAGCCCCTGGTCCCTAAACCCTAAACCCGAAACACTGAACCCTAAACCCTAAACCCTACAACCCCATACCCTAAGCCCAGCTCATGGTATGTCGTGCTACACCTTCTGTCTTCCGGCCAAGCGCAACGACAAAACCCAGGCGTTTCCGCGAGGCCGTGGCCACATGGGACGAAGAGGAAGATGCCGCCTGGCTTTCCAGGCGCTCCTCGCCAGGCGACATAAGCTTAGGAAAAAACCATAAACCCTGAACCCTGAACCCTAAACCCTAAACCCTAAACCCCCTGGGGCAATTCCTAGCAGCGGAGCCTGAGCCAGTGGTCCAGGGCCTGAGTCATCTGGCAAGAGAAAGGTTTCTGCAGGCATCGATATCTTTCGAGGATGCCACGCTCGTCTCCGCTAGACTCTGCATCATCCTGGGGCCAGGCATAGCTATTGCCGTAGCTGTGACTTGCTTGTGCAAGGTTGTCAAACCCGCTGTTCAAGCAAGTAATCACCCACGTCGCTCTTTAGGAGCTCCGGTGGTTTTTATGTGGTTTGGGCATCCGGTGGTGCGCTCTCGTGCATGAAGGTGGGTTTTGCACACCGTGCAGTTTCAAAATCGCCCCATGTGAACATGATCTTCTGCAAATCGTGTGATCTACCAGGGAGTGGCAACGATTGTGCGACAGAGCACAAGTATTGGACAGGGAGACCTATCTGATGCACACTGAGAGAATGGCGACTGGCTTGTTTTTGTTTGTTGAGTCTTGGAACCGACGTTTCCATGGGAATCGGCTGGATGTTCAGTGACTTAAGGTCAGAGACTTAGTCGGGATCCGAGCTTGAGCAAGGTTTAGGGTTTAGGGTTTCGGGTTTAGGGTTTAGGGTTTAGGGTTTAGGGTTTAGGGTTTAGGGTTTAGGGTTTAGGGTTTAGGGCTACTCCATCAGAGGGCGGCAACTCAGGTGTTCCCGGCGACCTACCAGGTTTCGGGCTTTCGTTTCACAGCATCCCTGGCCCCCGCACCATTCGCACCTGGAGCCCACAGGCTGCGTGGACTTTGCTCACGTTGTGCTTCAGCTCCTTTAGGGTTTAGGGTTTAGGGTTTAGGGTTTAGGGTTTAGGGTTTGGGGTTTGGGGTTTGGGGTTTAGGATGAGCTGTGGGCGAAACACTCTCAAGTTCACGATCTGTGGATTCATTGCCATGTCCGAGTGTTTGCTGTCCTTGTAGGATATATAGGGCTCGTTTGCCCGTCTCTTCTGCGTTATAGCAGCAAGCAGCTTCCCAAACCTGCACCGGCAGAAGTACGTCACGCCTCCTGTGCACGGCGGTGGTGAGACATGAAGCCAGGCATCCAACGCTCAGGCCCAAACCGCATCTCTTCTGACACCTGAACGCTGACCCCGCAGCCCACCCTCGAAATGCCGGCAACCGGCTGGAGGGAGTTACACGGGGTCTACAAAATTTCTTTAGAAGCTGAACGGCGGCGGCATATATGCGCGTAGGCGTGTAGCAGCATCAGAATCATTCTACAGGTGCCCCTGGCTGTCCACAGTTGAAGGAACGCACAGTCATCAAGCGTGATGCCGGAAAGGCCGTGAAGTACCGGTGCTGCTGATCTGCTTCGAGTGCTGTTCGAGTAAGTCCCATCTTGAAGACCTGGTCTGGCAGTGCACGTACTAGGTTCACCAATGGTGGGTCAAGGTTCTGAATGGCACGTCGAGCACACTGGCACACGCGCCTGCAGCCGAAACATCTTGTCTTCAATCAGGCCACTCATGATGAGGCGATACACTCTCACCTGGTGGCCAGCATATGCTACTAGTACCCATTTCAGCAACGAGTCCAAAACAAGCACAAGCTGAGTCCAGAACCTCCTTGGTCTGCCCAATGCGATATGCTCTGTCCACGGCCTCGAATTTCAGGCGGACAAGCTCCCGAGATCAGGTTGCGCTAACCAGCGGGGGGCGGCCTGGGCATCGGTGGCGGGATTCCAAGCCTTGGTGATTGTCAGGGGGATCAACTAACAAAAGCCCTCTGGCCATGCTCTTGCCATACTCTTCACCAAGAAATGTCTCGAAACCCAGGACAACCCAGGCCCAGGCAGGGTCGACGATGACCACGCGATCGGCGGCCGTCAAGTTCAGGCCAACGCCCCCGACGGCAGTGGTGAGAAGCATGCACCTAAGTAGTTGCGTCCGAGGCCACTAGAGGAATCCAGTTGCTTCTTCTCAGATCACATGTTTAGTTGAAACGAAGGAACAGGTTCGTGTTCTCTTATGGCACTCAAGGCCCAAGTCCCCTTCAGCCTTGGCAAAAATGGACACATATGGACACGCGAGAGCGAAGACAAAACCCTCAGAACCGCGAATCTTCGTAGAAGCCACATGCAAGGGCAAGTGGGCAAGTGGGCACGCTGGCACACAGCCGATGCCTTTGGCCATGCGGTGGGCTTGTCGGCCTCCCTTTGCCCCCTCCTTCCCCCCCTCATTTCCCCCCGCCCCCTGGTCTGGGCCTCCTTTTGGGCTTTTGTGAACCAACGAAGGGTTTGCATCCCCTCCCCCCGAATAAACCGCTAAACTCCAAGCTCCCTTCATGTCCCTTCGCCGGAAGAGACATGGGTCCGATTGCAGGGGTCCGATTTCGGAACCCCATTTTGGGCATGGTTCCTCGAATAAAAGGAAAATGTACGTGGGGGGGAGAAAAGGCTCGAAGGTGCCCCCTTCTTGGGAAGGAACATTGCTGACCCTACAGTAGCGATCCCTAACGCCAATGATTCGAGCAAGCCTCAAACATGCCTGACACCAACAGACCATAGTCCCGCAGAGGTGAATATCCCAAGGTTCAGCCCTTTCTTGTGATAGCTTGTGCCCCTACACCCGTGCGATGGGCTTGGAGGAAGTCAACCAACGCCAATTTGGCTGAGGCACTGAAACCGCTCTGGTTGGTTGTTGAACTTCGTCACCTCGATACAACCCCTCAAGTGGGAGAGACTCGTGATACTGTCTTCAGACGCGCTCGGTCAACTTTGAAACTCCACTAAACCCTAAACCCTAAACCCTAAACCCTGATGTACAAGCATGATTGCATGGAGAAACCCGTCTCGGCCTTCTCAGCACGTGCCTGGGTATCGGTCTGCCCGTCGATCCGCAAGCACCGGAGGCCTTCGCGGCGTCAAGTTCGGCATCGTCCGAAAGACTCCTTATATATTACATTATGTTTCGATCAGTATACATACATATATATATATATGCATATATACATAAAATGCAAACTGTGTATATATATATATATATGTATCAGATATAGATATAGATATAGATATAGATATATATATATATATATACAATATGCATCCTGCGAAACAACCGCTGCGCACCGTGAGGCTTCAAGCAGCAGATTTGCACCAAGTCGAGCATCTTGACCTGGCGCTTGTTCAGGCTTCTTCAGACCCCAAAACCCAAACCCTAAACCCTCCTAAACCCTCCTAAACCCTGAATCCTAAACCCTAAATCCTAAACCCTAAATCCTAAACCCTAAATCCTAAACCCTAAACCATAAACCCTAAACCGCCCCCTTCTTTCCCATGTCATCTGAAGAGCATCGAAGTCATCTCTGAGGTCGCCGCACTCTGTGAGAAAACCAAGGTCCGGTGGCCTCCGAAGGGGGTTAGGGTTTAGGGTTTGGGGTTTAGGGTTTGGGGTTTAGGGTTTAGGGTTTGGGGTTTAGTTTAGGGTTTAGGGCAACTCTATCTTAGCAGCTTTGCGTTACACGCATTCTTCGAAAGCTCCAGATGCAGCATGCTCCACGCATCCTTCAAGGAAGATGCTGAAGACTGGAGATACCTTTGCGGGTCCTTTATTTCCGGAAACACCCTATTTCTACACCCTAAACCCTAAACCCTAAACCCTAAACCCTAAACCCTGAACTGAAGGTTTCATGTGAAGGGTCCCGACCATTGCCTTGGGACGCCAGCTCGGGCAGGAGCCGCGCCAGGCACCGAAGCTTGGAGCTTTGCAAGAGCACCTCCTGGATTTAGGGTTTAGGGTTTAGGGTTTAGGGTTTAGGGTTTAGGGTTTACGGGTTGGGGTTTAGGGTTTAGGGTTTAGGGTTTTGGGCTTAAGGTTTGAAAGTTTTGGGTTTAACAGGGCTTAAGGTTTGAGAGTTTAGGGTTTTAAGCTTAAGGTTTAGGGTTTAGGGTTTGGACTTAAGGTTAGGGTAGGGCTCGGGGTTCAGGGTTTAGGGGTGCCAAACGATCCACAATGACAACCATCACAAGGATTACACATACACGAACCTGACACACACTTGAAGGACACCCTAAACCCTAAACCCTAAACCCTGAACCTAAACCCTAAACCCTAAACCCTTCATGGGAATCCCATGCCCCGACCCGCAGCCTGGCGACTGCGAGACCTGAACGTGGCGTCACATGGTGTGAGTGTAGATCAACTTATCCATTTCCTGAACCCTAATTACCCGAAACCCTAAACCCTAAACCCTAAACTCTAAACTCTAAACCCTAAACCTAAATCACGCTGCGCATACCGCTGAGGATGCCGCAACGATTTCAGCAGTGACTCCACATCTTGACCGCACTGCGCATCGTCCTGCCGACGGCCAGGGATCGGAGACTGATCGGAATTCGAGTTTCTACCTACAGGAAATTCTCCACAATCCTGCTGGTCTGCAGCAGGCACGGCTTCGGGTGAGGTCTCGGTGGCCTCAGTACATCGCTTGGCAGGTGGACCTCTCCATGACGAGACAGTGTCGTCAGCAGCAGTCAGGGCAAGGACGGTGACATCATCCTGCTGCTCCGCATCTGAGATCTCATTGCTGCCGCCCGCGTCCTTCCCAGCATCATGACTCGCGCGCATGCTACAGAAAAACGGACCAGTTGCTGTGTTGTCAACAACCTACTTCATAATCTGCAGGGGGGGTCTGGGCGGTGTCCTCTGCAGAAGCTTGCACCTGAGCGAGCTAGCCATGATCAGCGTGATGAGAATAATGCAAACACTACAAATAGTAGCAATCATGAAAACAATGATGAGTATACTCGTACAAACAGAATAACAACAATAGCACTAACCGCAAAAAGAATCACGATACTACGCACAGTAGTAGTGACAATCACAACAATAATAGTCATCATCATATTAACAAGAAGACTATTCTCACACGATTTACAACAGCAACACCTATAACAACCCCCATAAACCTAACGATAATGACTCACAACAGCAACACTTGCAACAACCCCGAGGTTGCCTCCTGGAGAAGGTTGGCCCAGTCCTTCATCGTGGGCATCGGCCTTAAGCTGCGAGGCTGCAAGATGTAGGCAGTTGCAGCCATCTACGCCTTGCAACCGGACAAACGACCTTGGGTTTAGGGTTTGGTGTTAGGGTTTAGGGTTTAGGTTTCAAGGTTTAGGGCTAAGAGGGTTTAAGGATGTTTACGGCTTTAAGGTTTAGGGTGTAAGGTTTGGGGTATAGGGTAGGGGTCTGCTGCAAGACCCAAACGAGATCCAAGGTCGCAGCAGCAACAACAGCGGGTGATTGCACAGGCGTTTCAGCAAGCCGATCGCCCGGAAGACCTCCACACACGCCGCCATGACGTGCCAGGACTAGTGTTTGTTGCTACTATTATTATTTTTATTATTATTCTCATTATTCTTCTTACTGCTATTGTTATTATAATGATTATCATTGTCATTATCTTTATTGTCATTATTATTGTTATTCTTCTTATTATTTTTCTATAATTTTTCTGTTCTTATTCTTACTCTTATTCTTATTCTTGTTCTTACTCTTATTCTTATTCTTATTACTATAATTATTGCCATTATTCATTGAGATTGTTATTGCTGCTTTAGTCTTCTTGCTATTCCCTACTATGCTCTCTTGTTGCTGCTCTTCCTGTCAGCTTTCGCATGGCTTTGAAAGGGCTCGCCTCGATGCCAAGCTTGGACTTGACGCAGGCTTCTTTGATCACCTCGCTCTGCTCGAGGACCTGGAAAGAGACGCGAAACATAAATGCGCGGAAGCGGGAAAGCCACGGGACTACGTGGCCTCGATGTAGTAGAGAGGTGGTGGCGGACATGGCAGTGGGAGGCGGTCGTGGTCGTAGTAGGTTTGGTAGGTTTAGTAGTAGCAGCAATAGCAGTCGTAATTTAGCAAATTTGACCCGCACTCCTCGCTGGGCACCGTCGCGCCTTCTTGTAGGCGGCCTTCTGCTCCTCACTGGGAACCAACCAGACCTCGCAAGGCAACTCTCCCGGACATCGCGATTCTGGGCGACTCAGGAGTCCGGCAATGGTCTCTCTCTTGCTGGGCAGCTTGGTCACCACCTCCGGTCGGGCGAAGTCTTGTCACAAGAGGCTGGTACATGAGCCTGCTGACTTGCCATGGCAGGTCGACACCATCGAAGCTGAGAGGCGCCAGGCAAAGACAGGCCCTGAGCGCGCTGCTCCTTCGATGTCCTTGTCTTCGTTCTCGGCCCCCTATGATTGGCAGCATGCCAAACTTGAAATGCTGCATTGCACATCATCGGCCTCCATGTCAACATCCTCAGCCACATCAGACGCGCCGCCTGCATAAAGAAGCACTTCAGACTGAAGAGCATATACACCGAACGTGCCAGGCTGCCTGTCAAGCCAGCATTCACCTTCGTCCGGCGCAGCAAGTGTGGACGAATCAGGGCCTGCAGGACTTTCACTGGAGGTATCAACCATGACTTGGGAGCCGCAGTACCAAATCCGACCGCCACAACGTCACTCTGTAAGGAGCATACTGGCACCTCAATCTACATACTTGCGGGATAGGATTAGGGGGGAAATCTTGGGATATGGACCCTCTGAATAAGGTCTCCTGTTTAAGAGAGCCAGAAGAGGGTTAAGTTAGGTTAAGTTCCACTCCAGCACACACCCTGCGTACCCGCAGCTGCTCGGCCAGGTGCTTCTTGAGCTCGACAGCCCAGACCTCACAACCAGCACCCAGCGCCTACACAGCTCGCCATATTGGGGTTTTCAAACCCTAAACCCTAAACCCTGAACCCTAAACCCCAAACCCTAAACCCTAAACCCTAAACCCTAAACCCTAAAATAGAGTTTAGGGTTTTGGGCGTTTGGGCACAATGCTCGACACTTCCATGAAGGGGCCTTGGCACCTCGTACGCTGCCTTTGTCAATGGGCTCACTGAAGGTCTTGACAAACCTCATCGGCGAGCCACAAAACATTGGGATGTTCCCGCGTTGCTTTTTCTAACAGCTCCTTAGTAGGGATCATAGTACCCCCGATTATAATTCCTATTCAGGAGCTGTTAGTATAAGGGGGAACATCCCAACATAAGCACAAAGATATGGGCATCTGCCATGAGGAACATTCCTTGCTGTGGGGCTGGCGTGGCATGATTTCCCAAAAGTCCAGGCTGTGCAAAGTCCATCAATGCCCACAGATCCTCTGCCAATGGAACTCATATGCGAGAGATGGGGTTCATGCGCGCGCTCTCTGTCCGTCTCTCTTTCGTTCTCTCGTTCTCTCGTTCTCTCGTTCTCTCGTTCTCTCGTTCTCTCGTTCTCTCGTTCTCTCGTTCTCTCGTTCTCTCTCTTTCTTTCTTTCTTCTTTATTCCTGATTTCTCTCTTTCTCTCTTTCTCTATCTCTCTCTCGCTCGCTCTCTCCATGACAGGGAGGTTTCAATATTTGAACTCGGTTAAGTTACCTTCCCCGCACCGCGTCCTGAAGAGCGTTCTGGACCGGTGTGCCCGTGAGCAGAATGCGGCAAGACGACTTGAGCTTGCGGAGGCTCTTGGCCAGGAGAGAGGACATGTTCTTCATCCTGCACATGTCTGGGTACAAGCATGCGCGTCTCCCGCTGAGGGTTTTCCGGACTCTTCAGTGACCCGAACAGGCACCTGTGTGCCTCATCGCACACGACCAGGTCCCAAGACCTGCCGAGTCAAGAAGCTTTCGCCGCTTTTCTCCCCTTGCATTCCTTCCAGATGCCGTCCTTTGCCTTGGAAGCTGCAGCCCTAAACCCTAAACCCTAAACCCCAAACCCCCTTGGCAGCAGTGGGCAGAAGCTGCAGCAGAAAAATCCCACAGCGGGTGCCCCCCAGCGTCCCCCCTTCCCCCGCCCCCGGGCGCTTGCCTGCGGCTTCCAAGAGCCGGGAGCTCCCCGCCAGGGAGCTCAGGCTCCAAGAGCTCCTGGACGACTCTTTCAGAAGGGGGGGGGGGGGGGGACGCCTGGGGGCTCTTGAAGCAACCCCACGAAAAAAAATGAACAAAAAGGGCCCCAAACAGCATGTACAACATCAGCTCACACGATAAAAAAAAAAGGTTTGGAGAAGAGGCGTATGGTCAAGGACCATGGCCGCCGAACGGCCTTTTGTCTCCTCCTCCGAGTCGCCGCCTTCATCGAAGCCGTCGTCGTCGTCCAGCTTCCGACGCTTGGACGGCTTCTCGCCTCCAGGCCTCACACGCAGCCACTGGGAGATTGAGACAGAAACGAACGAATATTATAATTTCGTATACATACACAAATTTCTATATATACATATATATATATACACCATATATATATATGTATATATCAACGCAATCACAACAACAACAACAACAGCAAAGGAAGTTGATGACTTGACACTTGATGATACAGAGCATCGGGTCATCCCACGACTCAATGAGTGGGTCAAAGGAAGCAGCAGAAACTCACAGCTCTGATCAACAAACACGTCTGGCCAGCGAGGAGCATAGTGGCTTAGAGATACAACTGCTGCAGGCGGTGTCGGGTTTCAGGTCTAGAGTACAAAAGCTGACCTGATGCCCTTCCCACACGTTCGAATTGTGCACCCCTTCAGGCCTACACCAAGTACTTTTTTCCCTCAAATTCCTCAGCACCACCGCTCCAATGCCCCCGAAGACATCAGATCTAGGATTCCGAGTCTGCAAACACGATGGCGATATCTTCTCGCATCCCACACCTGAGCCCTAAACCCCAAAACCCCAAACCCGGCATCCCTTCTCCCTCCCTCTCAACTCATCTCGGCGCTCCGGGCTTTCGTCCACGACGGTGCGTCGGCTCCGGGACATCTTCAACTTGCACCTTGGCACACAGGGTGTAGGGTTTGGGGTTTAGGGTTTAGGGTTCAGGGTGTTGGGTTTTGGGTTTAGGGTTTAGGGCTAAAGGGTTTAGGCACTAAGGCAGCATGGCCCGCTGAGGACCCCTGCCTCCAGGAGATCTTCGCAGTTGCTCAGAAGCGAGTAGGACGTCAGCAACAATCCTGCGAAGCTTCATACGTAGTAGGGTTTGTATTGCCAGTATCCCCAAAAGGACACCCTATACTCTCCAATATTTATATGGAACCCTGCTTCATATGGCACATGCAAAGCAAGAGCCGAAAGGACCGAAGGAAGCCTCCCATGGGTCTCCGAAGGCCACGCAAAGCCTTTGCCCGCTGCGAGGGGGTCCCATAGTAGGTGTACCTGCGCAGTGGTGTAGGGCTGAGGGTTGAGGGTTTAGGGTTGAGGGTTCAGGGTTTAGGGTTTAGGGTTGCTTGCACAAGCCTTCAACACACGAGCAGAGTACTGCGCTAGCGGGCTGCTGACCGCCATCAAAGATGGAAGAAGATCGACAAAAAAAGATCGGAGCGGCGCACACGGGCCAACCTGGACACCAGAGTCTCGCCTCTCGGCTCCACCTTTGCGACGGCCTACTTTCGCTTTGCACACCAGTTGTCTCAAAGGCTGAGCATCAAACAGGGGCCCACACAGAAACCACTAAGTGCCACGCCATGTTGACGAGTGCTTTTAAGGAGAGAGGTGGTTGGGATAGTGTACGCACCGGGGCCCCCCTCCCAAACCCCCCGTCACTGCTGTCATAAACACTGCAGCCTGGGCACTGGTCCAGCAGCGTGACAGGCATCAAGAGCAGCGCGTGGGTAGCACCAGCTTTGCGGGCCCCGTTCAGCAGCGCACACACCTGGGCCATGGAGCCATCGCACGACGCCCCCGCGAATCGCAGAACGTGCTGTGCGCTACAACTTAGTTGTCCAGTACCTAGGGGTTTCAAAGGTTAACCTCCTTTGATATTATAAGGCGAATATATTAACCCAAAAAGGTTAAATGTTATCTAACCTACTACTAAGACCACGTGGGTGCCCCGTCCTGGATAGTCTTTCCCAGGCCCATCTCGTCCGCCAGCACGCCACCATGCCCTTTCTGCCACAGCCTGGGCATGCAAGTCCAGCACAAGCCCGAGGGGTGGAACACGGTTCAGGGTTGCGAGTTTATGTTTAGGCTTTAGGGTTCAGGGTCTAGGGTTTAGGGTTTAGGGTGTAGGGTTCAGGGTTTAGGGTCTGCAGGGTTTAGGGCTCCTCCAGCCTGGCCATCCAGGCCACGCCCTTCTGCTGGTAGGGATAGAGGCGGTCGAAGGTGTCCGCGGGGAGCACGAAAGGCAGGCCCTGGATTCCACAATAGTGGGGGGGGGGGGGTGTGATACGAGCAAAGCGCAAGAAGGCAAGAAAAGTTCGGGGGCATTCGACGTTTGCATTCGTCTTTCTGGTACCAAGTCATCTTCTCAAGCTCATTGAGGGTGTGCTTGAAAGGGCATCCGCACGGGCATGACTCAACGTGAAGCGCTGAAAAAAACAGAGACAATGTGCAAAATTCTAACACCAGCTTAGACAGAGCAAGGCGAAAGGAGGGTCAACACCATCCCCCATCCCGCGCCCGGGTCCTGCCCATCCAAGGCTTCCAGGGTCACCAGGTTCGTGTCATCAGGGTGAGGACGCCAAGCAGCTTCCAAATCCTCGCTGCGAGCTCGGCTCGCGTCGTCCTCGTCCTTCGAATCCTCCCCCTTACAGGGGTACTGGTCTCATACCGTGCTCAGGAGTGCAGACATGTGCTGACCCCGCAGAAAGCAGCTTCAGCCCGCAGCTCGAGTGGGAGTGGGCATTGTCTCCAGGCGCAGAGCCTCACAGCGAAAAGGCTTCGGTGAGTTTATAACAGTCGACGGATGGAATCTGCAGTCCCCTGATGGTGTCTCAACATTCAGATGGTGTCAGAGTGTCAGATGCCACGAGTTCCAAGAAAGCAGCCCGCACCTGCAAACTCTGCTCATGCGCTAGGATCTCCTGCTTTGCTTCGTGAGCCCCGATGTAGTCCTCCCAAGCTCAGAGCTGCGCAGAGATGCTGCGGAGCGCACATGGGGGGTTTCCGAAATTAGGGGTACCCCTTTTGGGGGGTCCCTTTAAGGGGATTCTATTCAATTCCATTTGGGGTATACAAGGGGGTGCCCCCTATTTTGGGACATTGCCCACATCGAGAGCATCTTTGGGAGCTGGCTTGAGGTCCTCTTCTTCCAGCCTTTGCACCTTCAGCTTTTGCAGCTCAGCGATCTTGGCCTGGCATCGTGTCCCCATGTTTGCCTCGGGCTTTTGAGGGCGAAGGGACCAAAAAGCCGCCTTGCAGTCGGCGACTTGCGCTGCAATGGACCTGCGCCTTCAGCCAGGAGGCCAGAGATGCGGAGTGATGCGCAGGTAATGCATCAAACTTCGATGGCCCTCTTCTTGCCTGGGGGTCGTAGAGGGACGGCCTGACTCCGAGTCAAGCTCAAGCAAGCGGGAGCGCGCGCGCGCGAGCTCTAGAGCAAGCGCTTCGCCAGACGCCGCGCTCGCTGAGTGCCATGTGACACGTGTAGTGAAAACTGATGAAAGCAAGCGGAAGCTTTGGGTCACATGCAGACGTCGCCAATCTAACATTCGGACCCTTAGCCCTTAGAGAGCTACCATGGGCGCTGACTTCTTCCGAGTGTGTGCTTTAAAGGGCTTTTACGACGGCGGGCAACTTGAGAGTGCATGTGTCGGAGCCTCAAGTTTCGCGGTTCCCTTTGGGGCCCTTGACATAGGGGTTTTCGAAGATAAGGGGCCCTAAAAGAGACACCCAAATAGCAAGATTCCCTCATGATACGGACCCCAATAAGCCCTAATTTCAGAAACCACCAAAACTCCTTGATTTCTTCATCATGACATATTTGATCTTTGACATACACCCTGCAGCCACAGGTGGGTTCGCGGCACACGACGCACGAGACTGACGTCACAAGAGCTCCTGGAAACGATGCCTCCGAAGGCTGACACAAAAACGTCAGTTTCAGGGCGCCGGGTAAGATGAAACCCAGGACTTTTTTCCTCGAAAACAACCCTACACTGGCTTCTTATAACCTTTCTTAACCCCCAGCTCTCTCTGGTCCGCATTGGTCCGCCTCATGGCAGGCTTCTGTCGATTCTGTCGATTCAGCGTTCTAGCGAGGGTGTCGAGGACGTGTCGAGGGCGTGATGTTGTGGATACTCGGCACTTGCTTCGGGTGTGGTGTCTGGAAGACAGCTTTCTGGACTGGGACCTTCCACGTGCCCATCCGGATGGGACATGTCATGTCAGACATGTCACGTGGCGAAGGAGGAGGGAGTGTTGGTACACAAGGCTATACGAGACAAAATCAAGCCTTGGCTGATCTTAGGTGGCATGTGAGAAAGAGACGCCAGACCCCCAGCCCGGTGCTCGGGGGAATTCGGCAAGTGGTCCAGCCCTCCAAGCATTGAAGGACGTTGACCGCCAACTGATCCTGGAACGCTGCCGTTTCTGTCCACCACTTGCCCGATCTGGCGTGCAAATGTCTTGACACACCAAGTCCGAGTCATGCCCCAGCGTATTCCGTTTCTGTCGACAATGTTTTCCTGTTTTTCCCTGCCTGTCTGAAAACCCAAACTTCGCCTAAACTCCATGTGTTACAAGCCCACCACGGGCTACCCAAACATAGAGACTGAAACATCTTAACCTGTGTTCACCGTTAGGGCGCCGACTTGCATTCGGAGCCGAGGCCTGATCAGGGAATGTACCAGGCTACGCAGAGGCTGCGGAACAGGCTTGGGTGCGTCAGCGACGGGGCTTTCGATGGCTTTCGCTCCTCTTCATCAGCATTCGTAGAGGCTTCAGGCATGGGTGTGTCGACTTCTTCGACGGTTTCGGACTCCTCCACCGCAGCAGAATGCACACCATGATGGCTGCCCAGCACGTCTGCGGATGTCTGCGGCACCTGCGCCGCCTCGTCCTCGCGAGCCGTCGGAGGCTCACTGCCTCGCTCGGCCTCCATAGCAACCACGCTATGAAGGCCACGCCCTACTACAAGAACGACTCAGTCTGGCCTCGCTGTCCGACATGTCGTCATCACAGGTCGGTTGGTTGCCGGCTTCCTTCAGGCTGACCATTTTGGGCAACACTTGTAGTGCTCTGTTCCACATCGACCCGCCAGCTAATGGCCTGCTCAAAGCCAGTGGTCAGCAGGGCGTTGAGCTTTGCCACCTCGACTCCCTCGCCTCAGCCGCAGGCTCTCGTAAGCTCTCGACCCAATTCTATGGCACGGCTAAGTCGATCGATTCCAGCGAGGTAGGTTTGCGTCGACGTTCCGAGCAAGCCGGAATGTAGTTGACGAAGCCATAATCGCATGGAGACCCAGACTGGCTACTGCTTGGACTTGCTTGGCTCTGAGCCTCTGCCTTACATGCCTCAGGCTTAAAGCTGCTTGAAGTGCTCGAAACAGGACAGCGATGGACAGCGGGCCACGTTCTCACGGTATTTTTTTAACTATGTGTCAAAAGCTAGTCAGGGATTTGGTCGAGTTGTCGCGGCGGCGACCAGGATGAGCGAGGCCACCAGGAATCATCCGTCGCTTCACTTGCAACTCGCGAAGACATGTAACAGCCTGCACGAGGCCGAGAGATGTACACTGGGAATTCAGTTCCCCGATGTGGACGCCGATCGATATGTACAAAGCCGAGCGATGGGAGATAAACAGGCTACGTGCACGTACAGTCTACGAAACCAAGAATCTGAAACCTGAACTGCTCTCGGCTGGATTCATCTGGATTCGACCTCAAGGATACCTCTAGAAGCACCTGCTGAAGGGAAGTGAAGCTCTTGAAGCCAGAGGCATCATGGAGCCCGTCCGTGCGCGGTCTGTGTTCACGGCTAGGGCGCCGACTTGCATTCGGAGCCGAGGCCTGATCAGGGAACTCACCAGGCTACGCAGAGGCTACGGAACAGGCTTGGGTGCGTCAGCGACGGGGCTTTCGATGGCTTTCGCTCCTCTTCATCAGCATTCGTAGAGGCTTCGGGCATGGGTGTGTCGACTTCTTCGACGGTTTCGGACTCCTCCACCGCAGCAGAATGCACACCATGATGGCTGCCCAGCACGTCTGCGGATGTCTGCGGCACCTGCGCCGCCTCGTCCTCAAGAGCCGTCGGAGGCTCACTGCCTCGCTCGGCCTCCATAGCAACCACGCTACGAAGGCCACGCCCTACTACAAGAACGACTCAGTCTGGCCTCGCTGTCCGACATGTCGTCATCACAGGTCGGTTGGTTGCCGGCTTCCTTCAGGCTGACCAGTTTGGGCAACACTTGTGGTGCTCTGTTCCACATCGACCCGCCAGCTAATGGCCTGCTCAAAGCCAGTGGTCAGCAGGGCGTTGAGCTTTGCCACCTCGACTCCCTCGCCTCAGCCGCAGGCTCTCGTAAGCTCTCGACCCAATTCTATGGCACGGCTAAGTCGATCGATTCCAGCGAGGTAGCTTTGCGTCGACGTTCCGAGCAAGCCGGAATGTAGTTGACGAAGCCATAATCGCATGGAGACCCAGACTGGCTACTGCTTGGACTTGCTTGGCTCTGAGCCTCTGCCTTACATGCCTCAGGCTTTTAAAGCTGCTTAAAGTGCTCGAAACGGGACAGCGATGGACAGCGGGCCACGTTCTCACGGTATTTTTTTAACTATGTGTCAAAAGCTAGTCAGGGATTTGGTCGAGTTGTCGCGGCGACGACCAGGATGAGCGAGGCCACCAGGAATCATCCGTCGCTTCACTTGCAACTCGCGAAGACATGTAACAGCCTGCACGAGGCCGAGAGATATACACTGGGAATTCAGTTCCCCGATGTGGACGCCGATCGATATGTACAAAGCCGAGCGATGGGAGATAAACAGGCTACGTGTACGTACAGTCTACGAAACCAAGAATCTGAAACCTGAACTGCTCTCGGCTGGATTCATCTGGATTCGACCTCAAGGATACCTCTAGAAGCACCTGCTGAAGGGAAGTGAAGCTCTTGAAGCCAGAGGCATCATGGAGCCCGTCCGTGCGCGGTCTGTGTTCACGGCTAGGGCGCCGACTTGCATTCGGAGCCGAGGCCTGATCAGGGAACTCACCAGGCTACGCAGAGGCTACGGAACAGGCTTGGGTGCGTCAGCGACGGGGCTTTCGATGGCTTTCGCTCCTCTTCATCAGCATTCGTAGAGGCTTCAGGCATGGGTGTGTCGACTTCTTCGACGGTTTCGGGCTCCTCCGCAGCAGAATGCACACCATGATGGCTGCCCAGCACGTCTGCGGATGTCTGCGGCACCTGCGCCGCCTCGTCCTCGCGAGCCGTCGGAGGCTCACTGCCTCGCTCGGCCTCCATAGCGCACCACGAAGGCCATGCCCTACCACAAGAACGACTCAGTCTGGCCTCGCTGTCCGACATGTCGTCATCACAGGTCGGTTGGTTGCCGGCTTCCTTCAGGCTGACCAGTTTGGGCAACACTTGTGGTGCTCTGCTCCACATCGACCCGCCAGCCACTGGCCTGCTCAAAGCCAGTGGTCAGCAGGGCGTTGAGCTTTGCCACCTCGACTCCCTCGCCTCAGCCACAGGCTCTCGACCCTACTCTACCCTGGCAGCAGCAACATCGGCGATTGCCAGCCCTTTTGACGGAAGCTGCGCGGGCGGTGGACATGTCCCATCTTTGGTGCAGGAAGGATACCGTGTTCGTTGATGCGCTGATCATGCACAGGAGCTTTGTCACATTCAGGTGCAGGGCACGTTTCGCTATCGAGATGCCGGAATGCTGCGCATTGTGAAAGCGACATGGACTGAAACAGGGGGCATGTGCGTGTGTACATGTGTGTCTATAACGCACAGTAGGTTGAGACCAATTTCGGAATGCCACAGAAACACGCAGACAGGTGCGCGTGCGCGCACACACGCACACATAGACATAGACATAGACATAGACATACACATACACATACACATACACGTACACGTACACGTACACATGCACATGCACATGCACATACACATACACATACACACACACACACACCAACACCCGCGCACAGAGAGAGAGAGAGAGAGAGAACAAAAACGCGAGCGTGCGTTAAGCATCGCAGCTGCAACTGTGGGAACAAGGCTGCCGCTGCATGCCGCTTTCTCGGCTGATTCCTCTGGCCAAGAAGTCCCTGCACGAACGTCTGGCTGAACGCTGAGCTGAGGGCCGGGTGGCAAGAGGACTGCATACTGGGACTTAGAACATTTGGGATTTAGAACATGGGCCCTTTTGGGGTAGAAAGGCTCTGTATCGTCACAATTGAGTTAGAGCCCCCCAGGAGGGATCGTAATAAACAGCTGCCCACGTTGCCTTGCGCAGCGCCATTGGCGAGGCCAGCATTAGCCGGTCCCTCACCTGCTTAAGGATGAACTGCTAGGGTTTAGGGGTTACGGTTGCCGGGGAGGGTTTAGGGTTTAGGGTTTAGGGTTCAGGGTTTCGGGTTTCGGGTTTCGGGTTTCGGGTTGGGGGGGTAGGTGGTGAACCAAGGTTACAGGCAAGCCTGAAAACAAGTAAAACCTCCGGACAAAGAACGTTGTTTCTGCGGGGGAGGCAAGCAGAAAACATATCTGTGCGAAGATGCAAAGAAGAAGAAGAAGTCTGGTTCTTCTGTACCTCCCCCCCACCCCTCAACCCAACCCGCTTGGAGGTGCCAAAGTCCGACATGCCGCGTGCCCCTGCCACAGAGACCGCCAAAAAGCCTAGGACCCCACCCGCGTTGGCCGCAGGACCCTTCAGGGACGAGCGCTTAACATAAACATCTCTCTGCAAGAAAAGGGTTCCTTTGCCAGTGGCCCGTAAGGCAACAACCAAAACAGAAAATTTTCTCCGAAAGACATATATTGTTGCTTCGGGTGCGGGGTCGAGGCCCGAACACAACACGTTGCTTGTTCTCGTAGCAGATCAGGGCACACATGTGGCTTGGCAAGCGCGCAGCGCTTGCACAACCCAAGTATGTTTCTTGTGCGATGGGGCAAGCCAGCGAACACACTCTGGCCAGGAAGATGTGAGGCCAGGAGCGTTTTGCGATGATTGGTTCTAACTAATAGTTTTCCTGCCGGTTAGCTTATACGGGCGATGCTTAGAACGCGCTGCTTTCGCTGCTTTCCCAGGCAACCAGGCAGTCAACCCATGTCCCGTCACAGTTTTTGTGGATGGGGTGGTGGGGGAGGCCAAGACAACTCCTTTTTTGTCCGTGAGAAATGCTTCATGCTTGGGGGGCGAGCACCCAGCTTGCTTTGGGCTGCGGGGCGGCCAAGACAACAGGCAAAGCACTCGTGTTTCTTTGGTGTGGAGATCCGAGTCCGATCAGCTGGGCATTGGCCACACGGAGCTTCATGAGTCCGGGCCAATGTGAAGGCGCATGATTGTTGGAGAAGGCACGTGACGACATGGTGCGGAGAGCCTGCAGGCTGCTCCCGCGCCTCATCTCCCGGACCTTCGAACTGATTGTTGTTAGGAGGCACTTCTTCTCTAGAACCTAAACCCTAAACCCTAAACCCTAAAAATCCTAAACCCTTTGAGCGCCACGCCCGAGGCCGGAGACTCCACAAGAGTGGAGCGCGGTGATGCGTGCGAGGCGTCGCTTCGGCGGCTGAGCCCTTCAGGCGCATTAAGGGTTTTGAGGGTTTAGGGTTTGGGGTTTGGGGTTTGGGGTTTAGGGTTTAGGGTTTGGGGTTTAGGGTTTAGGGTTTAGGGTTTGGGGTTTGGGGTTTGGGGTTTGGTAGGGTTTGGGGTTTGGGGTTTGGGGTTTGGGGTTTGGGGTTGGGGTTTGGGGTTTGGGGTTCAGGGTTTAGGGTTTAGGGTTTAGGGTTTAGGGTTTAGGGTTTGGGGTTTCGGGGCCAGGGGTGCAATATGGGTGCAATGGGGACTCGTGGGGGCAGCTCCGAGCTCCGCGCGGCTGGGGCTGGCGAAGATGCGCCCGAGCTGCTCGAACATAAGGAGCCTGCCCGCCTAAACCCTAAACCCTAAACCCTAAACCCTAAACCCTAAACCTCACAGGACACGACTGCAATCGAACCTGCCTGGGGCTCAAAACGAAGCCCTGGCAAGGGAGATCAACTGAGCCAAGAGGGCTTGCGCGCGGAACACTGGGGTTCCAAGAACATGCCAGAATACGAGCAGGTCACTCCCATACCAGTGAAGGACAAGAAGCAAGCTTGCGCCACTACCTCATCTTGAGAATCTTCGGACAGTGGCGCCCTCCTTTTTCCACAAGTTCCTGCACGGACATGCTGGATCGTCACCTCAGCGTTCGCTGGAGGGACACAACCAGCAAGACCCAAGCAGCAAGACCCAGCGCCACACCTGGCCTGCTGTCATAGATGGGCAAGATTGGGGGAAGCTTCATCTTCTGCACAACCTGGACAGCAACTACGATCTAGGAAGGCAGAAAAAGGCTGAACAAAGTCCTTGGCCTCGAGGGGGAGTGCGTACACGCAGTGGATGGGCGCCAAGTCCACTCGCCTGAAGAAGAGGGATCCCACTAACAAGCCCAGCTGGGCATGCAGAGATCCTGGATGCTCCAACCTCATCAATGACAGCCCAGCAAGCCCGAAGAAGGTGTGGAACACGTCCGGCCTCAGGGATGTTTCAACACCCAACCCCAATCCAAATTCCTAAGGTGGGGATGTTCGAAGTAAAATAGCTTCGAAGGCTTTTTAGGATTTCCAAGGGTTTTTGGTGTTTTTTGAGGGTTTGTTTAGCAGAGGGCACATACGGCGCACGGGGCACATGGGCTGAGAAGAGCGCACGTCACCAGGCCGATCGGCGATGCCACCATCCTGCCGGAGCAGAGGAGGCTGGCTCATTCGTGCTATTCTAGTACTAGTTTGTTTAGTATCACTAGCATTAATAGTGTTTATTTTTAAGATCAGAGCAGGCCAGGCGTTTACGTGGACCGAAGTGGCTCTGTCCCTGTCATCGGGTCCTCATCTTGGGCGGCCAGAATAAACTCAGCCTCGCCATGATCCGTGGCTCTTCAGCTGGACGCATCTATGTATGTATATATATATATACGTATAATAGTAATAATCATAATAATAATAAGAAGAAGAAGAAGAATATTCATAATCATAATCATAATCATAATCATAATCATGGGTCAGGCCAGCTTCTCCACGTCGATCCAGTGCACGCGGTCGATCGTGGCTAACGCTGAGAGGATCCACCAGCTGTAGCAAACGTCAGGGGCCTGCAGATCACTTGAACCATACTCACAAGCTTGCATTGGGGCTTGCACCTGTCTGCTGGCTGTGGGGCGTCTGCAAGCTTGCACCAAGCTTTCACACAGCTAGCTGCCACTCTTATACAGCAGAACTGTCGCTCATGTACACTCCTTCTCAGGCCGGCCATTGAAGCCACCGCTGGGGGTCTGCCGCTCACAGAGCCACCATCCAAGCTGGTCGACATCGACCTGAAACGACTGTTCTATGCGGGAAAGGCCGCAAGGGATCATCTCCCTCTGTTCGTGTCAGCCTTCTTGTAAGGCTGCAGCTGCACGAAGAGCGTCGACCAAAGCCAGTGCCTCCAACGCAGAAGCGAGTGAAGCGAATAGCATTGACTCGCACACGCTTAACTTTAGCCCCACGACTTCTTTTTGATCCCTCCCAGCCTGAACAGCACAGAAGACATATGCCGCGTGGGATTCCGCTCGTGGAACGGGTCCGAACGAGCCTTCATAGTTCATGCAGCGCCTGAGAGAGGAATGCCGGCGTCTTGGACTTTCACGAGCATGACGAGCATGGAACGACTCGGTTCGCAGCAGAATCCATCCCACGCACGCATCAACATCGATGCTATCAAGGGCATCCAGAATCGTCAGTGCCGAAAGGGCGCAGTAGGCGAACCTCCAGTTGAGAGCAGACAAGGGACCCCAAAATGGCAGGATCCCCTGATGATAAGGACCCCACGAAGGTCTGCCCTAAAGGCCCTAAAGGGCCCCAAAGTCCTAAAGCCCCTCTTCAAACGCCCCAACATCACGTCAGGCGGGCATTTGAAGTTGCAGGGCTTCACTGGGTGGACCTATGCCTTCTGGGTGCGAAGACCGAAGCCAGGAAGCCACATTGGCGAGACAAGAAAGTGCCCAGCCTGACATCAACCTGCACACACGCACAGCAGCGGCACTCGACCTGCGCTCATGGAAGAATTTTGGCCTCGCCCCAGCGATCGCCAGCAAAGGAGCCATCGGGCTGCTGCAAACCAGAGATGAACGCAACCACGCCTCAACTGAAACCCAGCGTGCTTCATGCAGCAAGGCTGGCGCTTCAGTTGCGTGCCAGGCACCTTCTCGATCCAGCTTGTCTACTGCGTCATACATACAGAGGACCAGCAGTGCCTGAAAAGCACGTCAACACGAGACAGCCGAATGCCCTCGATGCCACTTCCACAGTACCATCAACTTGAAAGCCGAATGCTTGGAAAACTGACAAAGCATGGTTTATTTCTTGTAAAAACTGAAGTGTCAAAGGAGTGAACCAGGTTTTTTGAAAAGTACTCAATTTGCTGAATGCCCCCAAAAAGCAACGGAGAACTACTTAACAGCTGAACGTTGCATGAACGAGTCATTCGAAGATAGCGTTGCTAATGTTACGTAGTTATGTTCTTCAAAGAACCGAAACATATAATCAATGCATCGCATGTAGCTAATGTTTCAGGTTTTTCGGTTTACACAAATTACGGGGCTTGTGCTGTTCATAAATATCGTGCAAGCAAATGCTGTAAAAATGTACCTCAACTGTCCATGTTGTGAGCTGCTAGAATTTCTGCTTCTCCAGTGGGCTATTCAAACGTCGCAATAAGCTGAATCTGCAACTGGGCTGTTTCCAGGATGGCTTCGGCTTAAGCTTTTTGGATTTGACCACTTTAGGTGCTCAATTTCTATTGGTGCTTTTGCGTATTCGGCTCCAGAATGTCGCATGTAAAAAACCTGCACGCAGACACGCACGACAAGGTGATAGAGCATAGGAAAGAGGCTCAATAGAGGCCTCCTGAGCTACAAGAAAAATCAGACATATTCACACACATAGATAACGGGTAGTCTTTACGAACATTCTTAACAAAGATTTTCACGAGTCAAAGTGAGGGCAGCATTCACAAGTAAGTTCAGCTTGTCGAATCACTAGCAAAAGCTAGACAAGCTATGCTCAAAACACATGAGATGGCAAAAAAACAACGAGTAAATCGCAACCTGAGCGCCGACACAAAAAACTTTAGACAACAAAACATTTCTACATATATATATATATATATATTATATATATATATATATATATATACATATGTGCCTATATATGTATATATATATATATATGCAATCAAAGGCTGGAAAAACCCAACGGGATCCATCAGTTCAACCAAACTCATCACGTGCTCATGGAAACGCTTGGATGCACACATAGTGGGTCGCTGTGATGTCTGCATCGTGGCCCACATTCGGCCCGAAACCTCCCGGCGTCTTGGGGTCGCGACACCTGAGATCTCTGCACAATGCCCCCAAGGGCCGGGACTGGCTGGTTCTTAGTAGGGAATGAGGGAATTAGGGTTCTACATAATCCCTCAAAGGGTATAAATAGGTACCCTGTATAATCCCTTAAGGGGTATATATATATAGAACCCTAGTACCCTCTATAATCCCTTTAAGGGTATGTATAGAAATATATATATATATACATATATAGGCCCCCCCCCATTCCCTCATTCCCTACTAAGAACCAGATGCACTGCTCTGGGCACTGTCTTAGAGCGAGGCCTGAAGATCCATTCCACGATGTCCTCTCTCCTGCGAGGCGAGGGCGCTGTAACTTTTATATGGTCTACATAATATTTGATATGTATATATATATATATATATATATACATATGTATATATATATATATATATCTATATATATATATATATATATATATTGACGATTTACAAAATATATAAATAATACATACATATACATATATTACATACATATATATATATATATGTATTGTCATATGTGAAACTATGCTAAATGATGTTCTATGTGAACTGTTCCTCTTTGCATCGTCCAAGCGTCTCAGGAGCGCCATGGCCTCACATGTCTGCAGCCCCGCCATCCGCTGACTGATGTTTACGACTGCTGCGAGAGAGAAGTGGGTTTAGGGTTTAGGGTTTAGGGTTTGGGGTTTAGGGTTTGGGGTTTAGGGTTTAGGGTTTGGGGTTTAGGGTTTAGGGTTTAGGGTTTAGGGTTTAGGGGCCAGGTTTCAACCAGGGCCCCTGGCACTGACACCCCAGTAGACGCCGCCCATGCGCAGGTGCTCGGACCTGGGCAAACCGGTGCAAAAGTCCACGGGTGCCAGTTTACTACTACTACTACTACTACTACTACTACTACTACTACTACTACTACTACTACTACTACTACTACTACTACTACTACTACTACTACTACTACTACTACTACTACTACTACTACTACTACTACTACTGTTACTGCGGCTACCCCAAGTGCTCAGGGCCAATCATGGCCCCAATCCATGCCCACAAGAGCCCGTCTGCCGCAGCTTTTCGTGTCCAGGATGCTGTGGTCCATCTTTGGTCCATTTAGGGAACCATCTATAAAGGGATTGAGAGAAAGCCTCAAAGTTGCTTCACATGCTTCACAAGGAGGCTCTCTGGGATGCAACCGGAACAGCCCAGCTGTACCGCATTTTAAAGTGGCGCTGCTGCCTCATCGCTTTACTTTACAGCCTGGACAAGATGGGTGGCAGACCAAGTCCCCGTAAACCGCGCCCTCCATAGCGAGCTTATGCAGAGTTCACCGTGAATCAAGAATTCCTAGCGCCCCAGCTCCTCCGAAGCGCATACCACTGTGGAGGACACCAATTTCCGCGGATTGACAACACTACGGCCAGATTCCGGTTGGACTACAACAAAACATGACAAAACGCGTGCACATCTATCCTCGCCCGTTGAGCAGGTTGTCTGCTTCAACGGGCTTAAGGGGGGGCTCGGCCCACACGTGGGGGGAGAGCCAGAAAGAAAGAGCTTCGGACCTCTCACTTCGAGGTCCACTGCTTCACCTCGCCCTTCTCCGGGTCGAGGGACTCGGCCGGGGCGCCGTCGTACGTGGTCTCCGGGGCCAGGTCGGTCCCCTTCCACGTGATGCTTCCAGGCCGTAGAACGGCGCCATCTCCTGCATCGCCTCAGGTTGGCTGATGTTGGCCCATGGCGGCCACAGCAGGAAGCGCCAAAAACAACCGACTGCTACTGCGACAGTAAGCTTAAGGTGAGCATGCGGGCGACATCAGACCACTACCAGACCTATGAGGCTGGATGAGGCAAGTTGCACATTGCCACGCTGGCACCCGCCATAATCCTCACCTTGCTGCCGATCGTGTAGCGCTTGAACTTTAGTCGAAAGTCCTCAAAGGAGTGACATCGCACTTGCCCATCGTAGTCCACTGTGACGTCATCACCGATCTGGGTGAACGGTGCATCCACCAGGACGAGCTCATTCAGGCAGAAGAAGCGCCGACCAATCTTCGCACCTAGCAGCCGCAGTATGGGCGCCTGCCAGCAGCTGCCCGCTGTCTGGAACGGAAGCTTGAACACGCGCTGCTGCGCTGTCAGGGCGGTGAACCACCGGGTTACGGCCGTTGAGTAGTATGCGTTGCTCGCTGGGGCGTTCCCGTTGAAGAGGGCGTTGCCCAGCAACACAGAGAACCTGAGCTGCAAGCGATTTTGGAGATGTGTCAGCCGACCCGGCTGATTGAAAACAAGCCTCGCAGCTGATCCTACTGGAGCATGGAACATAAACGGCAAAGGGGCAAGTACCAGGATGTGAGTGAGGAGGCAGTGTAGATGCCCAGTAGGGCCAAGACCTCCCACCATTTTGAAATGTATGGGCACGCAAAGCGTCCCAAGTAGAAAGCAATGGCAACGGTGGATCCTGCACAGCAACCGTCGGCAGCATGTCTCGGTGAAAAATGCCCCCAACGTATCGCTGTTAGTGCTACTATATCATGATGGGTACTACTAAACTTTATTCGTGTTATTGCTATATTATGATTTAGGGTTTAGGGTTTAGGGTTTAGGGTTTAGGGTTTAGGGTTTAGGGTTTAGGGTTGTACTATTGTCAAGCTGCAGCTGGCGGTCCTTGGACTCCTCGATAGAGAAACCTCTCAGCAGCAAACAGCCACCGTGCAGAGTCAGCTCCCCCCCAGGTGTAGGGTTTAGGGTTAGGGTTTAGGGTTTAGGGTTTAGGGTTTAGGGTTTAGGGTTTAGGGTTTAGGGTTTAGGGTTTAGGGTTTAGGGTTTAGGGTTGAGGGTTTAGGGTTTAGGGTTTAGGGTGTATGGTTTAGGGTTTAGGGTTTAGGGTTTAGGGTTTTAGGGTTTAGGGTTTAGGGTTTAGGGTTTAGGGTTTAGGGTTTAGGGTTTAGGGTTTAGGCTTTAGGGTTTAGGGTTTAGGGTTTAGGGTTTAGGGTGAGCAAGAAGCACCACAGGGAACCCCCACAGAGGTGTCTGCCGAGCAGCACGTCCATGATGCTTGTGCTGAAATGGTGCCAGGCACGGGCTTGCCAGCTCGCAGCTTCAGGCCCTCGGAGATTCTGGGCAGTTGCTAAGAAAGCGGCATTTTCATGAATCAAGTTCATGAATTGAAGTAGGTTGATGTATTTAGGTAGTATTTTTTGCAGCTCAGCGAACTTACATATTTAGAAGTCCTTAAGACAGTTTCACAGAGGGTTGCAAGGTCAATAGTATAATGCCCTCATTACGGGGGACTGTCAGACGCTGTCTCTGACCTGAGGCCCACGCCTTGAATCACTTTTGCGCCCTCACTCACGCGCCTCACCAGGGAAGATTGGTTTCCCAAGAACTAGAAAGGTACCGATTTTGTGGGGGGGGGGGGGGGGGGGGGGGGCGTGTGGTTTAAGAATGGGATGATATACTGATTGGCGGTGTGCAAGAAGGGGTACCGCTCTCTCGGGAAATGCCTCACATGAAGTTACACGCGGTCTGGTGCGTTGCATGCGCCCACTGCATTTTCACAAACGTGCTTTGTGTGTGCTTTCGTGCCTGAACTTGATGGCAGGGTTGCCGAAGTAGCCTTGGCTGCGCGCAGACGCACGGGAAAAGGCTGAAGGGGGATCCATTTTCCTCTTGACTCCACTGAGATGCTGTTGGGCCACTAGTGTTCTCGTCTTTCGGCCTCTCCGAAAGCCATGTGCCGACACCACAGAAGCATCCCTCAGGAAGGCCTGCGACGAGTCCACACATCGAGTGGTGCAGCCGTCAAGTCAAGCCAATGCCAAGCCGGCTTAAGCCTCTGAAGGATCTGATACCCTTCAGTACTCATACATACATAGACATATACATATATGTACATATGTATGTATATATATATATATATATTCTTATTATATTCTCATTATTGTATTTAATAGTCAGATAGTCTACCTGTGACATGTTGTGACACTCGTGAGCACTCCTGAAGGGCGCCTTGAGGGAGGTGGTTGTGGTTCCCCAGAAAGGTTCGATCGCCCATCACGGTCACGCAGGGCACATTGAAGCGGCCGAGGTCCACGTCGACGCTGGTGAGGATGTTGCCCGTCGCAAAGAAGCACCGGTCTCCCACCTCTCTACGGAACCTGGAAACCTAGCAAAAAAAATCACAATTCCAGCATATTTCCGCCGTTTCTTCGGAGATTCTGGTACCCAAAAAACTCAAAACTAGTTCCAAGTATCCCTAAACCCTAAACCCGAAACCCCAAACCCTAAACCCTAAACCCCGAAACCCTGAGCCCTAAGCACCTCCAGTGTCTCCGGAAGCGTCACCTGAAGGCCCATAGCACAGCCGTGCCCAAACTTTGCCCCGCAGAGGCGGATGAAAGCTGGGACGATGGAAGCCTCAGCAGACAGAAAGGGTTTAGGGTTTGGGGGTTTAGGGTCTAGGGGTTTAGGGGTTTTAGGGGTTTAGGGGTTTCGGGGTTTAGGGGTTTAGGGGTTTTGGGGGTTTAGGGGTTTAGGGGTTTAGGGTTTGGGGTTTGGGGTTTAGGGATGCTCTGCTTTTGGCGTGCGAAGGCATGCGCTCAGGCCAACGTTGTAAAGAGGCAAGGCGCGTCTGCGAGCATCTCCGAAGATGCAAGGGTCATCGACATCTTCAGGGCTGCCACTTGCGCGCGGAGGCTGGCCAGAGAGAAGCTGCAAGGGGGGCGCACTTTGGGCAGGAGTCGGCACAGGACTATGGTGAAGCTCAGCTGGAAGATCGTGGACATCATCGATGCGAAGAAAGCCACGATTGGGAGCCACTGGAGTCGGTCCATCAGCATCGGTGGCAGGGCATCGAAGGCACCAGAGGCAGTGCCGCTAAGGGCATCTGGGACAGGGCCCAGCAGCTCCAGAGGCGCCAGCATCCCCATACTCTCTTCCGCACCTTGGCCGTCGCTCATGGCCATGTCACCCATGCCACCCATGCCACCCATGTCACCCAGCGTCTTCATCAACACCACGAGAACAAGAGGAAGCACAGCTTGAGGTAGCATCAGCAGCCAGTAGCCTGTGGAGAAACTTGCCGCCCAGCGAACGAAGGACGCGACTTCCTCGGGCTTTGGCGTCCGGCTCAATTCCCTGTGCGCCACCTCCACAGCTGGGACTCCGTTGGCACGACCAGACACGGTCTGCCCCTTACGGACGGACGAGAGCGGTTCCACGTATGCTCCAGCCCGTACTGTGCATCCTGGTTCCAGGGTGCAGTTTGGCCCGATGTAGGCTCCGGCACCAACACTCACCGCATCAAGTCGCATGGAGCGGTCACTATAGCTGACCGCCGTCAGATGGCGCGGCCCGTGAACCGTTGCTAGCTCTCCGACGCTGACCAGGTCGTAGGCTACGACCCTGGCCGTGAGCACAGCCGACACGGACGTGCGCGCACCCAGAGCCTTACACACAAATTTGGTCATCGTCCGAAAGGAACCCGGAGCTTCAAGACTGATTAGGGCCAGGGTTTAGGGTTTAGGGTTTAGGGTTTAGGGTTTAGGGTTTAGGGTTTAGGGTTTAGGGTTTAGGGTTTAGGGTTTAGGGTTTAGGGTTTAGGGTTTAGGGTTTAGGGTTTAGGGTTTAGGGTTTTTTCACACAGGACAGTTTTTTGCATGCCAGCTGGCTACACCCCGTTTGCCTCTAGCCGAGTTGCCTTGAGCGCCAAGTTGCGAACGAAGAGGAACGCCAGGCTGCTGCCTTGATGTGCGTTTTGGCCCACGATGGAGCCTTTCGCCAGGTGTTCGACGATCCAGTGCCGCAGGTACATCATGCTGTAGATGTCGAACTCCCCCGGCCTGTAGCGACCGATGAGGAGCCATTTCGCCACGAAGAGCACGCCAAATCGAAGAAATTGCTCGGCAACCAACAGCGCCACGAGAACCATCAAGGCAACCTGTGAACGTGCAACATGCAGTTTGCAAGCCGCACAGGACGTCTCAAACTAGTTTCAGGTTGGCACAAGTCCGGTGCCACAAAATGCTAAATGTGATGCTATGCTCAACCGGTGACGGAAAGAGGCATTGACAAAGCAAAGGGGAGCAGCACGCGCTCTGCGATCAGCAAGCGAGATGCCACGAAGAACGGCTGCGAGAAGATGAGCACGCCCTGGACCACTGCACACAGCCGGGGCCAGGCGCGGTTGCCCCAGTGCTTGCTTTGGTCCTAAGTGAGCGAGAAGGGCGGCCAAAGAACCGAAGGGCAGAGAGCTGGTGATCATACCACGCACACTAGCGACCAAGGCCGACACGACGGACAATTGCAGGACGTAGTCTGCGAGGGATGTCATTGTCGACTGAGTCGATTGAGCAGAACTTTGACGATGTAGCGTTGGAGCAAGATCTTCCGATGCTTGCGACTCCGAGTTCACAAGGTCATCGGCGCTGGCCTCGAACGCCGCGGGGTCGGAGAGGCCCTCCACGGACAGGAGTCGAACACCCCCACAATTCAGCGCGAGGCCCTTCAGGTCACCGCTTCTGCCACCGTGGCTAATGCAGAGCGTCTGCAGACCTTGAGATCCTTGAGGCTGCACTTCCGCACTGGTGGCCTGGGCTTCACACCCTTGAAAGAGGTTGTCACCCTCAGAGGGCGTGTGAGTGTGTGTGTGTGTGTGTGTTGAGTGCTTAATATCTTCTTGCACATGTAGATATAGTATCACACAATATAGGAACCCACAATCTACCAGCCCATGTCCGATTACCTTGACCTCATCACAAGTTTCACGGGACAAGTGACCGCGAGTTCCCTGGCGGTACAGGCGAGGATTGCAGGCCGTTTGTCTGAAATCGAGAGCGCCAGCGGGGAAACCGCCTGCGACGGCTGGAATGGATTGGAGGTGACAAACGTGGCTCCAGCTGACAAGCTGCTCCATAAGGCTACCAGGCCAGAAGCATCACCCACTGGCAGCGTTGAGAGGAACCGGGTGCCGACTTCTAGCGGCAGCTGCTGCCGCCACGCCGACATGGAACTGCGCAAGCCTGAAAGTGCCAGGCAGTCTGCTTCCAACTCCTTCAAGTTGGATTCGGTGGCAAGGTGGACAAACCCGGGGCTCGCCGAGCGCGGCTTGAGGGGACGCGTCAGTTGGAGCATCTGCCGGGTCGCCTCCCGAACATCAACCCAAACAGGGCCCTGCGCTTGAGTGGCCAAATGCTCCACAACGGGTCGGAACATGTCCGCCCCATTGCCCAGCACCGCCAGGGGCTGCACAGCCCGCAGTCGATCGATGATGTCTCCCGGGCTGGTGAACTCCAGGACGCAGCAGGCGAAACCTTCGAAAAGGGTCGCCAACATGCCTGCCACCAGGTCAACGACAGACCGGAAGCAGACAGCCACAAGCGGCTGTGATACTGCCACACTGCCAGACGAACGCCTGCGCAGCATCCGCTGGAAGGCTAAGGCCTTGTGAAAGACGTGACAGTAGGTGGCGGAGAAGCTGCCTTCCTCGATGCAAATGGCATGAGGCACGCGCCTGAGGAGCTCGACAAAACGGCCCATGAAATCAGCCTCCTCGGACGATGGAAACGTTGGAAGAGCTCCCTCCTCAAGGAGGTCCTCCCCCTCCGAGTCCGCGTCCTCAAACTGCAGATTCGCGAGAGCTTTGGCGAGAGCCGCGATGGAGGGATGGTCGTAGAGCATCTGGAAGTTCACCTAGGATAGCCCTTAAAAACCCTCTGAAAAATCTTCCTGAATATGATCCTCTTAAACCCAAATAAGGGAAAATATTTGAAAATATAAAATATCCCAAGGGCCTACCTAGTCACCCTCTGCAACCTTGGGGAGTCCAGCCGCTTCAGCGCGGTGACAAACTTGCCGAAGCCTGCGGAGTCCACGCTGAGGTCCTCCTGAAAGTGCGAGAGCCGGTTCCAGCACCTTGCTGTTGGCTAGTAGGGAGTGAGGGAATGAGGCACCCTACATCCCTTTATATTTATATATAATATGTATTTATTTAGTTATTTATATTTATTTATTTATATACCCTTTAAGGGATTCTATAGGGTACCCCTACATCCCTCCTTCCCTAACCAACAGCAAGGCCACTTCACTTGCAGCGTCGGCCCCAGGGACGCCGCGAGCTGGAGCTCCAGCTCGGAGGCGCCTGTCCCGTCGAAGGCCTCCGCGGCATCTTCGGGGTTTTCGGCCTTCTGGGCCGAGGAGTCGGAGGAGTCCTCAGGTTGCCCCAGTAACTTCTGGGGGAGTTCAAGGTGAGCCTTTAAGGGGTTCTATAAGGGGATTCTATAGTACCCCCAAAAAAGGTTGAAGGCTACCTGCTCTGCAACTAGGGATCCAGGGGCACCACGTTCCGCAGCAGCTTCCCGGAGGTGTTGAACTTCCAGTCGGCATCTCGGACCAACTTCACGCGGCTCAGCATGTAGCCGCGGCCGAGGGACAGGGCCTTGGCTTTCAGCTGCCCTTCGACGTCAGCATTGCGGTGGATGGCATCGCCTTCTCGTAGGGAGACGAGGAGGCTCAGCTCCTCGTTCACCACACGAGCCTCGCAGTGGCTCACGGCGTCGAGTTCAAGGATCGCCTGCTCCAGTGCCTCCAGCTCGATTCGGATGCCCCGGACCTTCACCTGCCAGTCCACGCGACCATGGAAATGAATCCTGCCCTCCGCATCCCGGGACGCCAGGTCCCCGGTGTTGTAGACACGGCCCAGGCCAGGGACGTGCACAAACTTCTGCCGGGTCTTCTCCTCCTCTTGCAAGTAGCCGCGTGCAAGGCCAATGCCGCTGATGAACAAGACTCCCCGCTGCCCAGGTGCCTGGACGGCCCAGGACTCCGGGTCCAGGATGTGGACGCCGTAGGTTGGCAGCTCCTGGCAAGTGGGCGGTGAAAACCGAATCTTTGGGACCAGGAGAAGATGAAAGAGCGTCTCTGTGAAGTGCGGAGTATGGGGTTCATCGGTTCCCAGAAATTCGGAAGCAGCTCGAGGCTGCTTGCACAGAGATCACAACGAAGCGTTTGCAAGACCTGGAATGAGCTCTGGCAGCTAGGGCTCGCATAGACTCGGGAAGTCTCGGGAAGCACCCGAGAGAAAAACGCGCGTTGCCTTTCGCCATTCCCATGCACGGCCAGGCGGGCGACGAAAAGCGAAAGTGAACACAAGGTGATGATCAGGGTCAGGGAATTGTCTCTGATTCCGTTGAACATCATATCTATACCTATACCTATACCTATACCTATATCTCTATCTATAGCTATATCTATAATATATATATATATATATATATATGCACTTATATCACCTTATGGCAGGGCCGACGGCAGCTCAGAACACAGCAGCTGTTTCGAAGCTCCTTGCCGATGGTGATGACATCCCCGGGCTTCACGTACCCGCCGGTGCACACCACGGAGATCTCCGAGGGGCCATAGCCTTGCTGTTGGTTAGTAGGGGGAATTAGGGAATGAGGGAATGAGGTACCCCTATTACAATCCCTTAAAGGGCAAAATATAGGGTACCCCTATACAATCCCTTAAAGGGTATAAAAAAGGGAGATATAGGGCACCTCATTCCCTCATTCTTCTACTCACCAACAGCAAGTCGCTGTTGAAGAGCCGGCGTCCTTCGGCCCAAGTGTTGACGACATCAGCCCCCAAGGCCTCCCCGCCGACGTCCACGATGCGAAGCTGAGGCAACCCAGCCCGGGACATCGACACGTCCCCGCTGCCCGAGATGGAGCGGAGGTGCGAGGGCACGACGCTCATGCCCGTGATCCGCTTCTGCCGCAACCATTTGAGCATGTCGGGGCCGGACTTCTTGATCAAGTCGGGACACCTGTCTTGAAGGAATCAGAAAATTTAACATTGAGCTCTGTGCGTTTTCGCTACTGTTGACATCTTGCGGCTGGCAGTGAAGCTGCGCTTGGTTTTCCAGCAGACTCTTATCACAAGCTCTTGATCATGTCGGGGCACGTTACACTGGTGGCCCTGGCAGCCATGGCACCATAGACTTCAATAATGTGCACGTCCCAAGACATCGAGGCCACCTGCGCGAATCGATCATCCGCCTGGAGGTCTACGTAGGCACGCCAGATTCGAACGACGTTGAGCGCCGACTTGTGCCGAACCATGACGGCCTTTGGCTTGCCCGTGGACCCGCTCGTGAAGATCAGGTAGGCCAGCCGCTCCAAGTCCTCCAACGAGCATCTCGGCGGAATGCTCACGTGGCCACCTCCCTTCCTCAGGGCCGCATCCACATCCAGAACCATCCGGGGATAGTCACCAAGGGTAGCAGCCACGTCCGTCAGCCCCAGACGTTGCAGGACGCTTCTACTGGAGATCATCACGGGAGGTGAGGACACTTCGACCCAAGAGCGCAGCTTCTCCACGGGGTCGCTGACGTCGAAGGCGTTGTAGGCGCAGCCCTCCAACATGACGGCGTGCGCGGCGGCAATGCTCGTCATCCCACGGTCCAAGACGATGATCACCACATGCTCGTCCCATCGGCGCTGGTGGGGCTCTACAGGCTCCACACGGTCTTCACCACTTTTCTTCGACTTCGAAGCGGATGTCGTGGACTCCAGGGACCTCAGCAGGCGCCGCAGCACCTGCCGAAGTGGGGTTACGATGCCCGCCAGCTGCGCGAAGGTGTGCGCCCCCGCTCCCTCACCCTCCTCGCCTTCCAGGCACACCCCATCTGGAGAGTCTCTTGCTGCTGTGAGGAGCAGCTCTGCAAGGTTGGTCTCCTCTCCTTGTGCGAACTGCTCACCTGCAAAGGGAGCGATGTCGAGCTCCATCAAATCCATCATGCAGCGCTGAATACGCAAAAGAGTACAAGACTCAGCGCAACTATGCTAACTTTGAATTTGCTGTCACAACAGCCAGAAAATGGCCAAAAAAGCAAGCTGGGTGCTCGGTCTCTCTCCTGCAGCCTGCTTCTCTAACCCTAAACCCTAAACCCTAAACCCTAAACCCTAAGCCCTAAGCCCTAAGCCCTAAACCCTAAAAACCCTAAACCCTAAACCCTCTATCTTCTGAGGCATCGGCATCATGTACTCCAGCGACTCCTAGAAGTAGCGGATTGGGCTCACGTCAGACCGCTAAAATGCACATCTCCCCACGTGTGCACGCTCCTTAAGTTGCACATCAGGAGTCGAAGATACGTCAAACATGTCGAAGCATGCTAAACTTCCGATGTGGACGTTCAATGCATGAGAGCTAAAAACTCACGCCTGCCAAAAGCGAAGCTGTGGATGCTTTCTTGCATTTCTGAGAGCACATTGCGATGTGCAGATGCTCCCTGATGCGTCTACAGGCGATGTGCTATCGAGACTTTTGGGGCGACCGCTTTAGCGGTAACCTCAGGTTACCCCAAGTAGAACCCCAAACGGCTCAAAAACCTGGGCTGTTGGGATGGTCAGGCAAGCCGGCCACCACCTCCGTTTTGCAAGGCGTACGGGTGTGCTGTTTCCATGTACATGTGAACCTTTCACGCCTTGTTTCAACGACCTTTCCTCTGGTTGCATCTCGTTGTGTTGTTCCTTCTTTTCTCTCGTGCATACGTGTAGACCCGAAAGTGTACTTGCAGTGATTTGCGCATGCCACACAACGCATTCGCCTTGTCGTCATCCAGGTGCTGCCTAGGCAACAGGTCAACTGCAAAGAATCCTGTAGCCCAGCTTGCACACAGGAAATACCTCAGAAAGCAGAGACTGAGAGTACCTTGTCGCTCTCTGTCACAACTCAGCCATCCGCAAGTAGAAGTTGTGCTTGTCTCGCAACAAATCCTGCTGCGCATGCTGTCCAGAAACACACCCCAGTTCCGCCCAGCCACTTCGCCCAGCCTCCTCTCTGCTCTGCACAGCCTGCACAGCCAGCGCACAGCGTTCAGCTTCCTTCACCCTTGCCCTCAGAGCTAATTGCCAAGTGATTTACTGATCTTTCATAACTGCTCAACATAGGTGCCTCGACGCCGCCAGGATACCCACCGAATGTGTGCATGACGCAGGAAACGATGCCGGCATGAAACTACTTAGTTTCTGGATGCCTAGTGAAGCTGCTCAGCGATTTCCATCGGGTGACAGCCACGAGAACGAGTTCAAGCTATCGACTCACACTCTCACTCAATTCAACGACTATTACTATCTGGTTTTTTGAATTGAAATAGCATGAAAATCTCTGTCTCCAATCCCCGCAGTTTGCGGACTGCTGACGTGCGGATGAATCTCAACCTGATGTCCAAAAAGTCATGCTCACGACAACAAGCTGTTTGCTGTCCGGTGTAGCAGGACACATGGAAGGACGTGTACAGACATGCAAACGTAAGCTTGCAGTGCATGCTTTCGAGACAAGCGGCCGCTCAATCGAGGTCCAGCCTCTTCTTAAGGCGAATTCCGATGGCCGAAACACCATCACGGACCCTTTGGCCCAACAAATACAAAACATTTGAAGACCACATCTAAAAGGGGATGCGGTGACGCCTCCGAGCCCCCTTGGATGCTTCTTACATGAGCAGAAGTTCTGGGAAATTTCACCTTCTAACTCTCAAAGCTGATGCGAGGCCGATGCGATGCCTGGCTTCTAACTGCTGCTCAATGGCATTAAAGCGGGCGGTCAGGCAAACAGACTTTTGGTTTGGAAGAGCTGCGTGAACGAGAGAGAGTGAGAGCTGCGCCACAAGCTAAACGACTGCAGGCTCGTGGTCTCGTGATCTCCCCCTCAACTCACACCAGTGAGCGCTGACCCATTAAAATTGTCAACTCGCGTGGTTTGTGAAGCCGTGCTCATTGCCACGGCATGACGACCTTTCAAGGCTGATGGAAAAACCCTCCCAGATTTGAGCTCCAGGTGGATCAGGATCAAGCTAGCTGGATGTTAGCTGAGCTGCCTGTCAGCTACAAACTCTACCCAAGAATCTCCGTTCTGGGCTGCAGGTCTCTGCAACAAGGCGCTCCCTAAACCAAGTAGTAGACGAACCCCATAGCCGTGTGCTAGCAGACCAGAAGTTGGAGTCTTAGACTCGACTTGTGTGCGGACTTGCGCGATACTCCAATGTGGACCCTTACAAGGCATCTGGTCCACACGGAGGCCGAAGACCGACAGCTGACATGCTCGTGCAAAGCTACCATGAAGCGATTGAAGCAGTGTGAGCCAAGCGGGCAAGTCCGAGCATTCGTTAGAAAGATTGCTCGGCAATCCTTAGGTGCCGCAAATTGCGGCGAGCTAAAATAAATTTATAGGTGCATAAGCAGGTTGCAGGGCATCTGCAAAGCATCCGCGAAGCATTGAACGAGCCTCTGCAGAATCTGAGGCCGTGGATCCATCGCTGCGAATCACTCTTTTACACCAGGGCTGACCATCGGGGCTTCACTGCAATTGCAGAGGCCCCAAGGGCCAACAAGCAGAGATGCATCTCACAGCAGCCAGGCACGCACACGGCTCAAAGCCGCGCTTCTGGCTCTGCATCTGGCATCTCCACGCCTCCCAACAGCAGCTCTCGCAATCATGGAAAGCCGTAGAAATGTCGAGCGCTCTGAGGCTAAGAACTGGCTGGCTCTTTGTAGGGAATGAATGAGGCACCCTATAATCCCTCAAAGGGTATATGTATATGTATATGTATATATATATATATATACATACGTATAGGGCCCTAAATTCCCTCATTCCCTACCCAGAACCAGGTGCCAAAAAAATCTCCGCCTGGTGGCACATACGCCGCCCGAAGGACCGGGCCGGTCCTGGGAGCTGCGCCGCTGGGCGCCGCGCCGCGCGACGCGCGCCACATGCAAAACGACTCTACGCGCACGCTGCATAATGGGGTTTAGGGTTTAGGGTTTAGGGTTTAGGGTTTAGGGTTTAGGGTTTAGGGTTTAGGGTTCAGGCACCGAAGACGTGTGGCGACCCCCGAAGATTTCATGCCAAGCCACACTTCTTCTTCGCACCTCACACACTGAAAAGCTGCTGCCCTTCTGCCGCACAGGCACCGCGCCATGACGTCTTAAGACGAAATCGTCTGCCATGCGGCTGAAGCCAGTCATGCTTGTTCGTCAAGAAGTCGGACGCTTCCGTAACGCCGTTGGAGGGCCGGAGAACCTGGGATCGATCAGTAGGCCTCCATCTCTGAATACAAACCATTGCACAACCCTCAAGGTACGTGTATGTACATTGCATGCATTTGTTGTTGTGGATTTGCCCATTGAGTTATGTACTGCAAAACTGATTTGCCTCAACATGGCGCTCAAGTTTGCTAGAAATTTCCAGAACCCCGACATGTTCAGCCAAGGGGCAATCTTTTCTTGAACCTGCATCGCGCAAGATGGGGACATGCATCCGATGCAAGCCCTAAGCATTCCCTGATGCTTCGTAAGATTCGCCACAACTTCTTGAGTTTGCACCATGAGCCAATGGGACGGTGAGTTCTAGGAATCTTAACCCCCACCGGCTACAAACAGAGACGCAGGCCCAGGCCCCGCCGATTGCAAACACAGTGCCACACGAGGACAAGGACTCATACGCTGTTTCGACGAAAGTCCGCTTCACGGAATCATGCTCTCCAAAACAAGCCTCCGCGGCGACAAAAAGTGGCGGGGGCGGAGGGGGGTGGCGCAGGGGGCAGCGCGAAGCCCCCCTCCCCGAAACACACAGCGTTTGCTGACGGACTTTGAATTCACGTGCGCTTTGAAGCAACTCTTTCTGTCGACGGTATGATGCCCCTTAAAGCAAGAGATCACACGGGTTTTCAAAAACCAAAAAGGAACAAGCACACTCCCAGACTCCCAGAGTCCCTCCGGGACTTCAACAAAAAAACGCGGCGGGGGAGCATTCCTACAAGCCATACAAGACAAGCAATAAACAAAAAACAATTGAAAACAAAAAAAGAAAGGACAGCGAACGCTAAGAGCAAACAAGGCTCAAGGCAGGAAGAGACGAGCAAACAACAAAGGCGAAAACAAGCAAAAGCGAAAAGCAAGAAGTTCGCGACGATGAAAGGCCGTAAAGGACAGTCAGAAGTGCAAAAACAAGAAACATCAAAAGAGAAGTGCAAGAAGCCAAGGGACATGAAAGGCAATGGGAGACAGGCAAAACAAATCAGAGAGGAAACATGAGAACGGCAACACGGGACGAAGCGCAGGAACCGAGAAAACAAAAACTAATACCCATAAAACCATGTCTAACAAAAGGGAATCCGCAAGAAATCGTCGGAGGCCACGAAAAGCAAAAGTGGTTCCATAAACACCACACTGTATTGCACGCTCCCAAATGACACCCCCGAGCTCCGAAAGGAACCCAGCTTGCATTCCCAGATGACCCAGTTTCCACCAGCAAATGCCAGAATCATCGAGCTTATTACTTGGGGAAGAATGTCCCAAAGCAGATTCGCGCGACGCAATTGCAATCCGAGCTTGAATTATCAGCTCTATGCCTGGACAACCACAGCGGACTGGTCAAGACTCGACGCCACCTGAGTGTTGCATTCAATCGCAGTTGCGGTACGCTGGAGTTGCTCTGCAGACGCGACAACAAAACAAAGGCGCATGGCTTCGAATCTGCCCTTCTCTGCACTGGGCCCCGCAAAACTGCGAGAGCGAATCAAGAAGTTCTTCAGTATTTCGCCCAGCTGCGCTGGTCAACATGGCGCTGAGAGCTGGATCACAAAACAGCCTCGGTTCAGCAAGGAAGCTTGCGAACTGCAAACTTCTACGTATGTCTACTGACCGTGCGAACATCAAGCCCTAAACCCTAAACCCTAAACCCTAAACTTACCCTAAAACCTGAAATCTAGACCCTAAAGCCAAGCCGCATGACTCCCATCGCCTTGGCCTTCTTAGCAGCATGCATGAGCACCGCGGCCGACCAGAGTCCTCCGAGCAAGGTGCGACGCAGAAGTGCATGGGAGACCTCGCCCTAAACCCTAAACCCAAAACCCTAACCCCTAAGCCCTAAGCCCTAAGCCCTAAACCCTAAACCCTAAACCCTAAACTAGCCCTAAGCCCTAGACCGCACATGATGACTCCCCTCCGACGAACTTTTTTGGAGGCAGCCCAACATGGGGGGACACCTGTGTCAACATCAGCTCGGAAGTCTTTGTTGACGGTCTCCAGCCTTGGCTGCACTCAGGAGGGTAGCTAGAAACGGAACTGTTAGCTGCCTTAATAAGAAACCCAAAAACCCAAAAAAGGTAAGGATCTAAAGCTACGGTAAAAGTACCACAAAGCAGCCATAATAGGGGCTGATTCTTGGTCGTCCATAGAAGCTTGAAATGGGCACCTCAGGCCCATCGTCGCTGCAAAAAAAAATATCACTCCCCTCAAAGCCTGCAAGATTGAGCTCCTGGCGACCCACGGGATGATGAGGATAGCTCGGGTCGCTAACAAGAATCACTTTGGATCTCGCATTGGCCAGCAGGGGCAGATGACCTCGGTTTCGGAACAAGACCTAACAAGGCCTAGCAGAATTTCAAAAACACGACCTAGCAAGTGCACCCGGCAGCAGAGGATGCAGCAAAATGGAAGCAACTGCAGATGCTGCGGCAAAGCCACACTGAGCCTCCACATCAAAGCCGTGCGAGGGCCCACCAATTTTGGTGGCCCAGAACCTGAAGCGGAATTCTCGTTCCACATCGCAAAGTTGCTCTAGGACCCCCTAGGCTGAGTCATCAGCAACCCCAGCTCGTTGTCATCATCCTCGTGGACTTTGATGGTGCCTGATGGGATCTTCACCCAGCCACAGGACGCTTCCTGCAAAGCATTGGCAGAAAAAAACTCACAGGAGCCTGCGCAAAAAGGCAGTGCGCGAAAGAGCTCACGTGCTTTTTCAACAGCTTGTTAAGGGGCAGCCAGGAGATGAGAAAGGGAGGGAGCGCTCTCCTGCCAGAGATCGAGCTGACTCCGAGAGAGCCCCTCGAGCTGACGCTCACCAACCGGGTTGTTGTAGCGCCAGAACTTGTACTTGTTCTCGAGCACCTCGGGGCAGGAGCTTGACAAACTATCGGGGAAATCATCAATAAAATCGCAACGGTCGCTCGGAGCAGACATCGAAGCTGAAGCTCAAGGGACGCTCTGCGTAATCTCGTGCACAACTCGGTCGATCTCCAGAGTCCTCGGACTGAGCAAATCCCGCGTAAGCCACATGAAAACGGGGTTTAGGGTTTAGGGTTTAGGGTTTAGGGTTTAGGGTTTAGGGTTTAGGGTTTAGGGTTTAGGGTTTGGGGTTTGGGGTTTAGGGTTTAGGGTTTAGGGTTTAGGGTTTAGGGTTTAGGGGAATCCTAAACAATGCGCTCACCATCCAATTTGCTGGCTTGGCGTCGGGAGAGGCGCTTTCGAGAGGGTCTGGTACATCCACTGCCGCCCTTCGTTCAGAGACCGCAGGGGCAAGAGCAGCTCGCTCTCGAGCGCCGAAAGGACCCCGTCCAAGGATGCTGCGACCGTCTCCTAAGATACAAAAAATGTCACGCTCGGAAGCCTTTTGCATGCCATGGCACGACATGTGCTTGGCCTGACCCGAAACGACACGCACCTAGCAGTTTCAACTTTGACTGGCTAGGCCAATGTAGGAAGTTCGTTCCGCAGAGTTTTCGTGCATGGATGTGTCAAACTATGAAAGTGCTTGGAATCCGGAGGGGCATTGGTGCATTCGGAGAATGAACAACCAGGGATGACGAAGCCTGACAAGAATCTGCGCAGCAGCCGATCTCACGAATGAACTGGCGGCCTCAATGACAAACATGCCAGAAAGCCATGAATCTCAACAGCTCGTAGGCAATGAAGTTCCGAAATTGGGGTACCATGTTATAAGGGAATCATACTATTTGGGGGTCTACATTTGGGCTCCCTTGTTTTCATCAACCCCCATACCGATTCTTTGCAGGAATCCTTGGAAACACATGGCCCTGTACATGGGCTTGGGACTTCGGGCCCTGGCCTAGCAATTGACAGAGCGTTTGACAGGAAGCTTAGGGTTTAGGGGTTAAGGCTTAGGGTTTAGCGTTTAGGGCTTAGGGTTTAGGGCTTAGGGTTTAGGGCTTAGGGCTTAGGGTTCTCTCATCCCGCATTTCGCTAGCACATGAGACTCCAAGGAACAGATTGCATCCTCGCTCGGGCGAATCTTGCAGAGCTCCCGCACCGCTTCCGTGGACTTGTCCGAGCGGAGCCTTAGGACAAGAAAACGGCCAACCGAAGATTCCAACCCTAAACCCCAAACCCTAAACCCTGTTGCCCCAAACTCAGGGCCCAACCGGGACTTGCAGAATGAGGAGTGCTGGCCCTCTCGATATGACAGGCGATCCACCGGGTGTTGCGGAGGAAAGCCATGGCCCAAGCTTGCGTAATCCTTTCACGCTTTGCGATGCGTTGCTATACGAAACAGAGAACACCTTACACGCACGCGCACACACACACACACGCATATAATATTGCCAAATAGCAATGCATCTCCCAGCTTGCTCCGCCAGCAGCTTCAAAGTCCGAACGATTTTCCAAGACACCGACCACGAACGGAATCGATCCGCCAAGTCAGCGTCTGCGAGACAATCAGCAAAAGCAATGCATGAACATTGCATACGAAGCTTTCATGAAGCTACTTCAGAAGTCGTGGTGAGCCTCCCAGCATGGTTCCAAGTGTCTCCAAGTCTTTGTCGACGAAAGCATTTGCTGTACCCAGACCGCAGGGTTCGCAGGCTGAGTTTTCCAACCGCACCCTCCTTGGTCACAGTGACACAACGCAATCTACTTTTGTCACCCCGTCAAATCAAGAGATCACAACATATACTCTGAATTCGGCACAAGTGCCCCAGCAACGAGGGGTTCGGCGAAACATTCGGCACCATCCTGGCATAAGAGATCAGGCTTGCTTCTACAAAAACCCAAGCAAGGAAGCGCCAACCCGAAAGCGTGCCCCGGCACCCATCATCGTTGCTGTCAACACAATTGAGTGGGGACGACATGTTTGGATAAGTGTGTGTTGCACACGTCAAACATGTACCAAGATTGCGTGCCTGACAGTTGCGACCTAACTACCCACAATGACCTTCTGTGAAGGTAGGGATTCTGATTTGCGTTGTGCCTGTGCATCTTTGCAAAGAACTCGTGAAAGCAGTCTCCTGCCTGCGGGCCCATATCAAATTAAATAATTTGGGGGCCATATCTCGCGAGTGGGTCTCCTGCGTTGCGACAGCTTTAGCAGCACTCGCTGCCCATCCTTCATCACATCAAGTTTCCCAAAAAGTGTCACCCAACAACATGAACGCGTAGAATTTGCGAACTACAAGGCTGCGAGCAAGCGCCTCGATGTTGTTTGCCCAAGCGCAGTGCTCATTTTTCGCTGGCTTGCACTGACACTCTAGTCACAGTGTGGAGGTCTGTCCGGTCTGTGCCTCCATGCGAATCACACTGGCATGTCGAATGCATCAGCTTCTCATGCCTAGGGAGACTCCAGGGTAGGCAGTTTTACTGCCGGCTTTGCCTGGGCCTCTCCGCCGTGTCTCAACGAAGCCTCAGCAGCTCCTCCACATCCTGCACTTGCGAGTTGGGGATGCTTTGCCGATTTTTTGGGCCCCTCTCATGATCCATTTACATGCCATGCGCATGCTGGACCATGGTGGAAAGAAGACAAGTCTGGTACGATGTGTCGTGAGCAGATTTAGGATCACAACCTGCCGTTCTTTCTCCACTTCCGTCAACAGCTCGGCGATGCCGTTCTTCCAGCTGCGCCCTGGCTAAGGGGCTGCGGCTTGCAACGGACATGCACGCATTGCTGCTCTTCAAAGCGGTCAGCACATACCCTGGCGAGAGTGGAAATGTTAACTTATCAGGCATGTGGCCATGCGGCATCTGGGCAAGTTCTACAAGTCTATCCATGATACAGAGTGCGCTGGCATCGCAGCCTCTCCACGGCCGCACCTTTCTTGCATGCTGCAAGTCTGACACGTTTGACACAAGGCACGACCTGAACGTTGCACTTTGCAAATGCCCGAGATCCTCGAATAGGCATTTCGTACAGGGATCAGACAGGAAGCAAGTAGGCAGTGTGCTCGCATTCAAGCAGACGCAGCTGTCACACGGTTTTTCGATTTTGGTTCTGTTGCTGGGCGCACGCAGCCGACTGAGCACAGCACGGTTTGCTTGACCTTGAGCTTCCTGGCCACAAGACCGGCTGCCACACAAGATCTATCTCTCTCTCCCTCTCTCTCTCTCTCTCTCTCTCTCTCTCGCTCTCTCTCTCTCTCTCTCTCTCTCTTCTTCTTCTTCTTCTTCTTCTTCTTCTGCTGGGCTTGAGGGCACGAGGCCCCCGCGCGCAAGCGCGCCCGAAGTGCTGGTCTCATGTGAAACTCCCAGCACGTGCTTTGAGGGCTGGACTTCAGTCCCCCCCCCCATGCTTAGTATCCCCGCCAACATGATAACCACAGCTGTCCAGTTTTCCCTCCGAGGGCATTTTCCCCGTGCACGGTTTTCACTGGGTGTTGAGATTTCCCTGTATTACCTGTGGGGCTTTCCTGGGGGAGTAGGGCTCCTCTACAGGACGAACTCTCGAGAAACAGCACCCTCCACAAAGACAAAGCCTCTGAACTCTCCAAACCTCCGAAAGAACTCCCCATTCCCCCTTGTACTAGACGCTCTCCCTCTCTCTCTCTCTCTCTCTCTCTCTCTCTCTCTCTCTCTCTCTCTCTCTCTCTTTCTTTATTTCTTCTTTTTGCGCACTAACCCCGACTCGCTCTCTCTCTCTCTGTCTCTGTCTCTCTCTGTCTCTGTCTCTGTCTCTGTCTCTGTCTCTGTCTCTGTCTCTGTCTCTGTCTCTGTCTCTGTCTCTGTCTCTGTCTCTGTCTCTGTCTCTGTCTCTGTCTCTGTCTCTGTCTCTGTCTCTGTCTCTGTCTCTGTCTCTGTCTCTGTCTCTGTCTCTGTCTCTGTCTCTGTCTCTGTCTCTGTCTCTGTCTCTGTCTCTGTCTCTGTCTCTCTCTCGCTCTCTCCTCTGCCTCGCGCCTCAGCATCCCCGGCTGACGCTGATGATGCGCATCCTTTGAGGTTCCCGGTAGCCCTTTTGCACTACCATTGGCTGCAAGACGTAGGTGAGAGAGCATGCTTGCCCCACGCCGTGGGCTCTTTCCAGACACGAAGTTGTTGGACATAGAAAGGAGTGCGCAACGCATGTTACCAAAGCACCCCGGAGTGCATGGGCATGAACATCAAGAAGCGCGCCAAGCGTTACTGACGACAAATCTCCGCTGCATACTAAGACCCTTTCGTGCCTCAGGCTTGTGCGGCGCAGCCATGTTGCCACGACCATACTAGGTCCAGTCAAAGCCCGAGAACCTTGAAATTGCACACAGCTGGTACCACCGGCATGCCGCCGCGCAATGCTAGCAGTTGCTACTGCGACCTGCAACTTCTGACGGCTTTCATTGCAAAGTAGTAGCTGTTCGTGTCAAGATGACACTTTCCAGAAGATGAAATGTTCAGGTGCGCTTTGAGCCCGTTCAACAAGCCCGTTTACTATGACGAGGAAGCCCTCCTCTTCATACCCCTTGTCCCTCCTGGCTCCACGTCGGGTCTACTACACTTCATGGAAGAAGGAGATCTCACAGGTCCGCAGGGACCATAGGCATACTACGAAGAACTGACCATATGGAAGTGGATCCTGGGTAAAGTCCCGCATCACAAAGTTCCCAAAAAGGACTCTCAGTGGCTTATAGATCATATAGTAGGCGAAGATGCACCAAAAAGTAAGCGAAGACGCACCAGTAAGCAAAACAACTGCACATAGTAAACGAAGATGCACTAAGGAGCAAAACAAGCGCCGATAGAAAGCGAAGACGCGCCACTAAGCAAAACAGTTGCACATAGCAAGTGAAGACGCACCACCTGAACCTTAAACCCTGCCAGCAAGGCTTGACGACTGCTGCACTACTCAGGTGATCATCTCACGTGACGCGGGTTCTGCTTTTTCTTGGGGTGACTGACACGCATCCGCAAACTTGGTGTTCATCAGCATCCTCACTGTGCTGATCGTCAACACCGTTGACGATCAGCCCAGTGAGGATGCTGATGAACACCAAGTTTTTTTTTGCTCTCTCGGCTGTCGCGTGGACCAGCCGGAGCGCCCACCTCGGTCCGACACGGATGGGCAACTTGCACAGCGCGCAGGGCCAAAGAGCTTTTTGGGGTTCGCATCTTTGAGCCCTCCTTTGGGGTTTGGGTTTAGAGTGTAAGGTGTGAAAGTATATGGAGGACTTGGCTTCATGTTTTGCAGACCCGCTTTGAGTTACGTGGTGGATGTGGTCTAAAGGTAGGGTTCATGGGGCGTCAGGTGAGTTAAGGGGATCATACGGTTTAGGGTTTCGGCCTTGGAGGGCTTACTGGGGTTTAGCGGTCGAGTTTCACTGGGGTACACAGCCACTACGAAGCTCAGCAAAGGTACTGCAGGTTTCACCCACACGACGGGGGGGGCGTCGGGCGCCAGGGTTTAATCGTATTCTTTCTGGTCGTGTTGTTTTCGTTTTTACCTTCACAATGATCTCACTAGGTGTCAGCGATATTTCTACACGATACGAGCATGATAAGTCAATTCTACATGCATCCATGCGATGGATAAGCCTCAGCCTTGCCATTCCATTGCCATGGAGAACACTCACTCAGTGGAGAGACGACAGGACCTGAAAATGCAGCCAGGCAGCTACTTCGGATTGCAGGCCTAGCACGGCAAGCTGCAAATCATGCCGCGCATCATGCTGTGGTCTTGCAAGAAGCTCGGTGTGGGACCCAGTAGGGGAACCAACCCTCAGCCTTCACCTGTATACACAGAGATGCTTCAGACCGGCATAATTGCTGGTTAGGGCATAGCGCCGTGGTCAATAAGGGTCGCGGTTTCTTGAAAACGTGATTGGAAGAGCTTAAAGGATCAGGCAATCCAAGCTCTTCCTCTCACCGGGATGAATTGTGAATTCGGCAATCCGACCAAAAACTTAGCTACTTACGGGCCACACAGGGCTGCTAGTTTTTATGCACATGCTGCGGAATAATCCCTTCCCCCGTTTATTAAACACCCTCATAACATAAAAAACACATTTCGGAAAACCCACCCGCAAAACTCCCACCTTATTTAAACCTATTCCGAATAATTCATGTTTACTCATCATTTTTAGCTATTCTTCTTATTGCCACTAGCTGTTATTTGCTGCTGTGTATACATATGTATTGGGGGTGAGCTCTATCACGTATTAACCCTATTACGGGGCCTGTCTTGGGGCCTTTCCAATCTCTTGGGGCCTTATCTTGGGGCCATTTCAATCTTATCTTGGGGATCTTGCTCGTGTTCTTGTCCTTGTTTTTGTTCTTCTTGCTGTTGCTTTTGTTGCCACTCCGCTTTGTGTTCTTCTTCTTCTTCTTCTTCTTCTTCTTCTTCTTCTTCTTCTTCTTCTTCTGGGGCGTAAGTTTTAGGGCTTTAGGCTTTGAGGTCCGCAAACAAGCCCGGTATCTTGGAGTCATACGACCAACGAAAGGGAGTTTTTGCACACGTGATATGATTCTGTTCTACTACTTCTTGTGACGCCAACACCTTGGAGACTTCCCGGCTCTGAAGCACCAGCGTAGCCGAACACCGAAGGGTGGTGGCTGCTTGCCTGGGCCATAGGCTTGCGGCTGACTGTTCAGCAGTTCCTCTGAAGGCGATGATTGGCTCAAATCCCCATACTCTAGCGAAGGTCCAGCCAGGAATTGCACAGGCTCCTTCATTGAAGATGGCCCCTGCACGCTTATGGACGAAGGGTGTCCTCGCTGAACCCAAATCCAAAGTGAAGCTCAGCTGCAAAGCCCCCGCTCAAGTACTGGAAACTCGAGTCTCTAAGGTTGCAATGTTTAGTTCCTGGAGCAAAGTGCTTGAAGAGCCCGAAACAGAGTCTCACCAGGTTCACATGTTACTCTTGTACTGACGTCTTATTGGAAGCTCTGTGGGTACTCTCTCCTGGATCCTAAACCCGAAACCTACTTCCCGGCGGCTCGAGCCGTCCTTGTTCAGGGCTTATCCCACAGTGCCACCGTTTGTCCACGCATGATGAAAGAACCACCTAATCCTAAAAACCCCCAAGACAAACCAGAAACTCATGGGGTTGGCTGGCTCGGTAGCTCGAGATTTGGGGATTCGACCTGCATGTTTCTTTGGGATTCAGGGGTAGGGTTCAGGGCAGCGTAGGGCTAAGGGTTGGGCTAAGTGTTGGATTGGGCGGGAATGAGGACTGAGGAGCTTGAAGGCTTGGGCTCGTGAATCAAAGTCCCAAAGTCCGAAGTCTCATAAAGTCGCTATACAAGGGTGTAGCACCGGGTGTAGGGTTAGGGCTACCCGGAATAGCCGGAACCACATGGAGCCTCACAATCACCGCGCCCTGTGCACACGGGAATTCCTTGACTTCTCTCGTGACTACCCTCGCGACCGCGCCCCCTGCACGGTAAACCCCATGCTCCCTGAGCCAAAAAACACTAAAGCCATTCAAGTCAACCTGAAGATGGAGACCCCTACGAGCACCTGCTGTCACCTGTGCCCTTCACGTTGACAGACTTCCCCCGCCCCCGGCCATTGAAACTAAGATTTCAACATTCCTTCACACACCTTCATCGCTGACAAGGGTGCGCATTGGCCACCGCTGTGGAGTTTGCAGTGTCATTGACCGTGGGGTCGATCGTGGCAATCTGGCCACGCATCCCAACTACAAGTAACAACACTGAGACTCTCGAAAGAAAGACGCCCTGCTTCCGGAAGCGATCATGACATATTTCAGTTTTGGCTCGTTCTGAGCTTGCAGCCGTGGGGATGTTGGTCAACAGCCAATAGGATACGGTAGCAGAGGCATGAAACTTTCACACACACAACTTTAATCTGGAACATCTGAGAGCCCTGAGTTTGAGCGTGGGAGATCTTGGCGCTTGGGTCCAGGTGTTACCGATGTGGGATGTCTGGTGATGAGAAAGGGTCAAACGCCAATTGAGCCTTTTCAGACTTGAAGATTGCAATTTGATATGTGGGCATTTTGGGGGGCTCGACTGGGATTCGTTGAGCCTTGAGCCATGCTTGAGCATGCTACTTCTCAGCTCATCGACGCGTATCAAGGGCTCCATCTTCGGAGCCGCTTAGTACGCACTGTACTCTAGCTCAGCAAAGTAGGAACCGAATCTGTGCTGCCATGTAGGCTTGATGATGTTGCTGCTTTGGACAACCAGTGTACACAACTTTATGGGCTGCTATCGTAGCTTTTGGTCCTAGGTTTCAGCAATGCGCAAGGATGTCGCATTAGTGTGCACGTGTACAACTGCCTTCTCTCTGGGCTGCGAAATGAAGTGTTTGTCACGCGTTGCGCCAGATGATGCGCGCGTCGCTTAAGGTGAGGAGTTTTGGCGGGCCAGCGGGGGTGGGGTGGGGGTCGCAGGAGTTCAGGATTGAGAGGTCTCTCACCCCTGCCTGCGACGCGACCGGCCCACAGAGACAGGCGACCTGAGGTAGCGCGGTTGCAAGCAAAAGCGATCTGGGAATATGGGCCACCTCATACTTGGGGGTGGCGTTCACAAGCTTCCTAGTGAGCGACGGCTTTGCCTATGGCTAAGCGTATATGCACCATTTTTGATCTGCCCTTGATCTCCTTCATCTTGTTTTTCACAAGCAGTGTCAAAGACTCGGCTGGGCTCCGCGCGAGGCAGCCCAGGAAGCTCATCAGCTTGCCTGGGGCTCTCGCGCGCAACACGCGCGCAAAAAGAGCAACGCGAGCACAATGGACAAAAAGCACACAACCTTGACCTCGGCTGAAAAAAAAGAAAAAAAACGCTCAGAGTGAAATGCGCAGATCGCACGGGCGCCTGTCGCACTCTGGCTGCCCGTCGCCTCAGCAAGGACTAGTTCCGAGGTTGAAGGTTACGGCTTCAGGGGTTCGGGTGTAGGGTTCGAGGTTATTCTTGGGTTGCAAAGCTTGTTTGAAAGCGTATGAATCCATCCAAACCGCTTCAAACCCCCAACCCCCTGCTTTCCCAACCCTGCGGTTTAATCACAACGCGGAAACAACACGCATGCCGGAAGGGGTTCATATTCTTTGAAGTCCGGACAAGGGAAGCCGGAGGAGCAGGAGACCGGAGGACCGACACCAGACCAGGCTAGCAGGACACCAGGTCGGGGGCACCAGGAACTAGAGGAGCAAGCAACCAGAGAACCAGAGGACCGAGGACGGGCCCGGAGGACTTGAGGACCAAAAGACCAGGAGATTGGGCCACTCCTAGGGGGATTCCAGAGCCAAACCACCTGTAACCAAACCTTCTAAAACCAAAGCCCTGGCCCACCAAGCCTGGGCCTCGGTCCGGCGCCGCTTTCGCGGCGACCTCGGTGGCTGCGCATGGGGGTTTCCAGTTCTTGTTCAAAAGTTAGGGGATAGGATTAGGGGGACCCTTGGGGATATAGACCCTCTGAGTAAGGCCCCTGTTTAAGAAAGCCAGGAGAGGGTTAAGAAGGGGTTCCCTGTTAAGGGTCCCCCTTATCCTACCTAGGAAAAGTTTAAGCAGCCGGGGCCCGCAACCAACTAACCATTTTTTCATTCTAGGGTTGCCTTGTCACCAAGTTGGGGATAACTCTTTACCCATCCTATACCCTTTCCCGAAGGAATTCTACGGAGCCAATGAACCCTAAACCTTGTATACCTCAGCGGGGACCTGGCGTACTTGCTTTTTAATGGTCGAACCTCGACCAAACGTGGCCAACCGCAAGGGATTACCCCCAAACACTGCACTGCATTAAACCCATTCTGAGGAATCTGCTTGTGTGGGTAGCTACATCAGCATAGTCGTAAGGACCACGCTCGTCCGAGTCGCGGCGCTGGGGCGACATGACAGGCCTCAGGCAACACCCTCCCTTCACTCCCCCCGGCTTCGACTTCCCTCCCGTCCTCTTTCCGCCCGGTTCACCCCCTTCGCTCCTTGCACCCCCCTTCCCGAAGCACCTTTCAGGGTTCGGCATCCTCCACAGGACCCAACGAACCTTTCCAGCCTGAAATTAACAAAGGCCTGAGCCCCTGTTCGGCACCCTCGAAGTCTCGAAGGACGACACCGCAGAGCTAGAACACGGCGAACAGCCGCGGACCTTGAACATCCCAACTCCGATCTCATTTCTCTTCCCCCCCTCCCTAGGGACCGGGCGCCAATCGAGCCAAAAGTCGCCCTCACTGCGAGCCCCAAAAGGCTTCGGAAATGTAACCCCTCGGTTCTTGCTTTATTCTCTCTCGGGCTCGCGCGCTTTTGGTGTTCAATGGTTGTAGGTTTCTCACTGACATACCGTTAAGCCGCGCAGGACACTTTGTCGATTTTTGCTTTTGGCAGTGCAACGCCAATGACGGTATGACCTGTTCCATAAACTGCAACTATATATACAGATGGCGATGGCAAAGTTGAGGCTGCCACTGTGGGGCATGTTGGTTCGCATCATCGGAGAATGCTACGTTTCGCTTCGTAAGTCTACTGGAGCTACGTTATCCAAACCCTTACAAGGATAACCTAAACTGCCTGATTTCTGGTTTCGACTGCGCTTGACGCAGACACCCCAGGCCTTTTTGGGTTTATGGGGTTGGGGTGGTATTGCGGGTTAGTCTCCCTAAACCGAAAACCCTAAACCCTAAACCCCAAACCCTAAACCCGAAAAATTGCATGCAACTTGCGCTCTTCCATTTCTCAGCGCTGCTCAAACATGCGCCATGCACGCGCTGTCAGGCGCCGAAGTATCCCTGGTTCTTATAGTAGGGAATGGGGGAATGAGGTACCCTACATAATCCTGAAAAGGTATATAGTATATTTCTATATATATGCATATATATATATATATATAGAAAAAAAAATATATATATATATATATATGGGGGGATTTAGGGTACCTCATTCCCTACTAAGAACCAGCAAAGATTATCCTCCTCCGCTTGGCAGAAAATGCTGCTACCACAGATATCAATCCGCCGCGGCCGTATGTGGCCCTAAACCCTAAACCCTAAACCCTAAACCCTAAACCCTAAACCCTAAACCCTAAACCCTAAACCGTGTGTGGCAGTTTGGGATGGCTCCTGGGAGGGAATCGCATGGGCAAGTAGCTGGACCATCCATTGAGAGGACACCCAAATCACAAGCCCTATATTGTAGGGCATCAGATGGAGTTTTGGGTTTGGGCTTGGGGTCCCTAAACCCCCAACCCTAAACCCTTAACCCTAAACCCTAAAGCCTAAACCCTAAACCCTAAACCCTAAAATCTCAACTCCGCCACAAAACCCCAATCCCTCAACCCTAAGGGCCGGTAGAATACTGAAGCCTCAACTCTAAGCCATACCTTAAGAACCCCAAAGCCCAAAGCCGACTTTCGCGTAGGTTGTATGGACTCTAGGCCACCTACACAAGACGAGGTTCAGGTGCACCCCTGGACCATATGGAAGGAAAGAGGAGGAATCTGACTGTGGAATATATGGGCGCTGAAGCTGGCTCGGTCAGGCCCACGCCGTTCGGCGGAGCGACCTGGGTTCAATGCACGTAAGCATCGCTAATGAAAGCTGAGCCGTCTGAAGAGAGCATCTCTCCGGGTTTAGGATCGAAGGCGCTTAAGGTTTAGTTTGGGGTTCAGGATTTGGGGCATTAGGGTGTGGGGCTGGGTGTGCCCGCTGGTCTAGCGTTTGGATCCAGGGCTGAGGTGCGCGCCGTGCCCTGGGAAAGCGGAAGGCTCAACTGTCGTGATTGTGAGATGCAACGCCAAGCCTCGGGGTAAGGGAGTTAGAAACTATGTCAACCACCCCAAACACGAGGCCAGCATGTTTCAGGGCTGGGCGGGGGAAGGCGGGGGTCTGGCTCGGTGACGAAGGCTGCAGGTTGAGGGCATGAGGTTCAGAGCTTAGGGAGCTTTGGCATCCAGGAATTTTTAGAGAGCTGAGGGCTTAGGGGGGACATCCCAGACCTAACCCCTTAGGGAGTTTGGGATCCAGGAAATTTAGAGAGCTGAGGGCTTAGGGGGGACATCCCAGACCTAAACCCACAACAAGAATCATGTGACCGGGCCTCCTTACCTCCTCCCCTGCTGCTCTGAACAAGCGGTCCACCTGAGCCGACTCACGCAGTCTCTGGGCTTTTTGCCTGGAGCCATGAACGAAGCAGCTTCTGATTGTCAACCCTGTTGGATGTAAAGGGTTCAGCATTTAGGGCATGTAGAGCATTTATGGACAACAGCAAAAAGTTGGTTTCGGAACTCTTTTTTAAGACGCTGCACTGCTGATACGGCTACTTCCTTGCCTCAGGTGGGGACGTAGTTACAAATACAGCGCGCCCCCCCCCCCCTTCCCCAAAATACCAGCAATTCTTGTCATAGGAGCTCCCCCCAAACAGCTAACCTGAAACCCTACTGGATGCTCTTGGCCTGATTGGCCTGAGACGTGCTTAACAGGCGCGCGGCTCCAATTTCTCGGCCTCGGCGACCGCCTCTGCTTATCGCGATGGCGTGAACCTCGAAGCAGATCAGGGCCTACTGCTATTTGGTTAAGAACCCCAAGAAGTGAAAGATTATAATCCCTAGGTTACCCTTATGAGGAAGAAAATTAATATTTTTGGGGGTTCTTAAGCAAAAAATAGTTGAGGGCTTCGGGTTTGGGGTTTGGAATTTGGGGTTTAGGGCTGAGGTTTTGGGTTTAGGGATGCTGCAAGGCATCCAGCGAGGATTTAGGGTTTAGGGCTTAGCGTCTAGCGTTTAGGATTGAGGGCGTAGGGTTTGAGGTCAAAAACTGAAGGTGTAGAAACGCAAATGCTGCGAGGAAGGAGCCGACTGGAAAGGAAAATGTCCATGCAATCCGAGACAGCCTTAAGTAAAGATTATGGGGGATGTAGGGGGAGCACTATCTTGAGAAGTCTCACAACTGTGACGTGGTGAACATGTCTGGCTCTCTTAATTGCTCACTGGCCCTGTCTCCATCCACGCAACTGCTAAAGTGGCCCTTGTGTCAAGCCTGCAGGCTGGGTTTGGCAAAGCCTCGCCCCATCATCAGGTTAGGAGCCAGAGATGGGTTTGAATGGGAATGATCATGTCCACATATCCTGCTTGTGTGCTGTCTTGGACCCGCTTGGGCGAGGAATCCGTGACACCTTGAACAAGCAGACGCGCAAGCAAAAGCAAGCAACCGAGTGATGCAACTGGCAGCTGCACGGATGAAAAGCCCCTGCAAATTCGTGCCACTAAACAGGGCCGGCTGCTGCATCTTGATGTTTCCTTTTCACACACAAGCTGCGTTCGAGTCTCCTTATGTCTCCTTGTCGCGCCGAGGTTTGGCATCAACCCAGCTGGACCTCGGCCTTCTTCCCGCGTGCACAGGCTTCCTGGAAAAAAGCCTGAATTCTGCCACAAATGACAAGCCGTTGGCTTAGGGGTGTTGCTTCAAGGTTGTTGCTGTAGGGTGCATGGCCATCACGTTTGTGGGCGGCACGTGCATCAGAGCTCCCCTGAACCTGAGACGCGACGTCTCGAAGAAAGAGACCACCCAGAGGCTTGTCCTCCAGAGTTTGGCCTCTGCCCTTCCAGGTGACCCCCGAAGCACAGCCTGAACACACCCTATCACCAGGATTGGCTATTCTAGCCTGTAACCTCCTTAAAAAGTAGGGTTGATGATGGGGATTATATGGCCTCGTAGCCCATCCTAGAAAACCCTAAGCCTTCTCAAACGCAAAACTTGGCTTTTCAACGTCCAAGAAAATGCTCAACGTCCAAGTCAATTGGTCTCGGGCGGCTTTGGCTGAATGGCCAACCTGACTGCGATGGCTTCTAGCAGCATTTAGCACAATTGAGGGTGGGAGGTCGAGGGGGAGGGATTGTGGAAGAGTTCGGGGCGTCAGGGTCAGGGCATTCGGATACTAGGGGTTTGGGGCTAGCCGGGGTTGAGTGGATGAGGTGTTGTGCCCCTCGAGATCCAGAGAAAAACGATCCTGACCGGACGTTGGACATAAAAACTCACCACCACAATTCAATAGCCTACAAGTGTATAGTATATGTCTCAATATGGCAGAAGTCAGTTGCGACACAACAGGCACCATGGAAATCTTCGAGCTCTTTTGGATGATTTTACCTCGGGCTCACGTGACGTCGGAGTGCAATTAGCTGAGGGGCCTGGGGAGTATCGGGATACAGGAGCATCTGCGCTCGGGATTGAAGGCTTTAAGGAACTATAAGGGGTTGTATGACATAGCAGCCTAGCAAAATGCATCCACTTCCGCGGCTCTCCTCCTCTGCACCCAGAAAGAAAACCGTCACTAGAGCATTCAGGACTTAACGGGCACCGATTTATGCTTGAAAGGGTTTATGAGGGGAACCCGGCACAACACAAGTGGAATCCCCCAAGGTTCTTAGCAGGGAATGGGGGAATGTGGTACGATGTATAATCCCTTAAAGAGTATATACAGGAGGTTCCCTCATTCCCTTCTCAGAACCAGCCAGAACCAGAGCCCTGGCCTCCATCTTCACCTGGCCATGCCCTGGCTGCGGCTCGGCACGGCTATGGCAAGGCCCCGGGCATCAGATTCAGCAGGATGTCCAGTCCTCAGCAGCGCGACCCGCCTATCCGGAAGCCCTCCGACGCCCGAGCTGAGGCGCGGGCGGTCCAGCTCATCCAACACCGCCCCAAACGTCTGCGAAATGCCGGAGGGTGCAATGCCGGTAAACGTGCAAAGAATTGAACAGCAACTTGCCACGCAAAAGCAGACTGTATCATCTAAACCCAATTTGAATCGCAACGTGCAGCGCATTAGTTCATGTTGCCGACCTCACCCTCTCCCTCGGCAGCTGGCTGCTGAGGAACGATGCCTTGCCCAGGTGCGCCCTCAGCCTCAGGGCAGGAGGGTACGCACAACGAAGTTAAAGAAGCCGCACAAACAGCCGATAACAATCTAGGCGAGTGGCAAGGACAGAGCTCCACCCTCGCTATGAGCTTGAGTTCCTCATAAAGTCTAGTTAAAGCTAGGTCAGGCCGTGCCTGCATTGGTGTCGCAGGAGATCTTGACAATCCACCTTCCAAGCTGACGCCGTGACGTTTGGTGCTTCAGCTACGCATACCATGGGCAACTGCTTGCACGGCGCGAACTTTGAAACAAAACCAACAAGATGAGGCAATGGCTGTCCAGCTGGCCCTGATTCTCCACCTGCAGATCAATCCGGCAACCGCGGAAATTTGCTGGTCTGCATCTGGAATGGACCAGAAAAAGTCCAGCGCAAACCAATTGCAAAGAGTCACACGCCTAGCCCGCGTGTTTAGGGAGAACTCGTATTGCAAATCAGGCGATCCCCAGAAGAGTCGAAAGTGAAGACAGCGACACAAGATTACACGTGAGAGAAGCCACCCGCCCCTGCGAACAAGAAAGGCCAAAAAGGAGCTACATGGACCAGCATATTTGACCGGCAGCACACGACCATACACTGCTCCACAGACCCAAACCTTCGACCCTTCACTGCCTTGACCCCCAAGCCCTGAATGTAACCCTGCAGCTTAAGGCTGAGCTTCTGAGGTTTTGGTGAAGGGAGCGCACCGAGCACATGGAGTCGTCCCAAGTTCCGTAGCCTCACGCCAGATCACGACCACTTAGGCTAATAGGGCTTTCCAGATAGCAATCACCAAACGAACGGATCTACTGGCCTACAGACACAAAGGCTTTGCTCACTTGGGGAGCCCAAGCTTTGATGGCCAAAGCAGGAGCATCGGCGTGGTTTCGCGCAGGCTTAGGATGAGTCCGAAGAGCGGTGCTCTTGGGCTGCTGTTGAAACATGTCTAAGTCTCAACCGATCCTGAACCCTGAAGCCCAAACACCAAAATTTTGAGAAGAGACAGCGCGCCTGTGGATGGCGGCGGCACGGGAAGCCTGACGTCCACGGCCTGGCAGCGGGAGGAGGCTGTCAAGCGCAGTAGCCTTACACCCTCAAGTGCGCACAACCTGTCTGTAGAACGCGTCAAGGATCCCCTCAGTCCACTGCAACCCCAAGTCACAACTCAGGGCCTCCCAGGGGCCTCTTCCGACTGGCGCTTAGCGATACTCTTTTTCTTTTTGGGGTTGTTGGCCTCCCCTGAAAGCTGGGGGTACAAGCTGGAGAGGTGCTGGAGTGGTACTGGAGATGTGTTGGAGAGGTGTTCTAAGGGGCGGGCGGTAGGTCTTCCCCCTCCCCATGCGAAGACAGGCATGGGTGCCTTCAGGAGTCTTTAATTTCGACGAGGCCTTGCCAAGCCACAACGCCGAATACAAGTCAAGGACCTTGTTTCCATATTCTTCTGTTGCGGAACATCATCTACACACAGGGGCAATTTCTAGAAAGAATCAACACATCGTGGGAGATAAGATTGGTCTCTTTGGAATGTAAGCAGCCCCGTTGGCAAGCTCCCGAGAATTCCAAAAACATCCTGAACCCTTGCAAGTCAGCCATGCCCGACATCGTGCTTTTTGGCGCGGGGAGAGCGAAGACCTACCACCCGCCCCCCCAAAACACCTCTCAAACACCTCTCCAGACTGTACCCAACACCTCTGCAGTTTTCAGGTGAGGCCACCCCAAAAAGAAAATCACAAAGCACCAGCCAGTCTTGAGGCCTCCCGAAACTTGAGCTACAGTAGTCAAAGCCAGGAGCACCCTCAAGACTCAGAACCGTCATGCCTGACTCTCGCCACCCCAACCCTGAAACCCTCAGCGCAACTCCAAATCCGAACCCCCTGCACCCGAGACTCGTCGAAGACTCCCATGCAAAATGCAAAACGACTCCGCCAAACCCGGCCGTCTCGAAGCTGAGTCTCTTTGGCTCCAGGTCCAGGTCCCGACGTGCCTTTCCGAACTTGCTAGTTCTACCCGACCTCAAATCCTCAAACCTCAAACGCTTGAACCCCAAACGCCTGAGCAGAGCTGCCACGGCACAGCCGGTCCATGCTCTGAGTTCCCCACCGCCAGGCTTTCCAACAGCGTCGGGGGCACCTTCACCGCTGGCCGTTGTATGGAGTGCTCCCGAGCTCCCCTACGCCTCGAGTAAACCGAGTGAATGGGATTCGTGCGTGAAAGCCTTCGCAAACCGAAGCTGCGAAATTTTGGCCCAAGCAGAATGATCACAACCAGGCGTCAGCGCTGCGTGCCTAGATCCTATAGAAATTGCGGCTGCAAGCAACAGTCACGCTCGGAACTTAGACGACTTGCCTCGTGGCTGGACGCCGGCTGCTGCGGCTTCTCCAGGCCGACCCTGTGTGTTCACAAGGCGAGGGTCAAGTTGACAGGATGACATGTCGGGACGTCGCTGGGACACGACGACAGGGTTCATTGCGCGAGACGGGGCAGGAGGATGACATGCTGGGGACAGGTTGGGATGCAGCGATGGCACCGACTGGTCAGGTAGACACATTCCTGGCGCTGGCCCTTCCGCGGGATATCGGCCCGGTAGTTCCAAGACATCCCGAGACGTCGGTCGCCAGGACTGCGTGGCACTGACTCGATGCAGCCGAATCACGCAGCGAAGAGATCCGTCACCTTGTGATCTGCATTTTCGTGCCCCAGTCGCTGGAGAAGCCTCCGCATTCTCCGCCCAAATCCACAACATGAAAATGCTGGGCTACAGTGCCACAGAGGATAACAGAGGAGAAACCTACTTTGGCTTTGGATTGGTCTTGGAGCAGGCTTCACGCTAGGCGAATTTGGCATTTTCAATTAGGGGCTCCCAACTCGCAGAAGCCAGCCGAAGCTTCCGGCATGTAGGCACGCATCAGCTTTCACCGGGCTATGCCTTTTCCTGAGACTTGGATTTGAAGATCAGTTCGCCCTATGTCCGAAACACGCACCTTGAGAGAATGTTGGCGGTCATCGCCGAGGGTCGGAGTTCGGAAGAAACCATCTCCTTGAAGAGGCCGAAACCTGTGACGGAGTCTTCGGCTACGGCCGACATCCCCGTCTGCCACAGCATAAAAAAACAGCCGAAACACGCGGCACCCGGCCTGCTCTCCAGTCGTCAGCCAAAACACAGCCTTTCGGAGGCCAACTATACATGCACAAATCCCCAAACCATGCTCAAGCACACAGCATGCGGGCGCGAAAGTTGCCTTCCATGAGAGTATTGTACACGAGCTCGTCGCAGCGAAGGCGTCGCTCTTTCATGTCATCGAACATGCAAAGAGCCTGAGCAGAGACCCACATTAAGATGTCGTCTTTAGGATGTCAACATCCAGCCAGCGGCCTTCAGCAGCTCTCCATTCTGGCAATAGCCTCTCAAGACCGTAGAGTAGCCTCGGGCACGGTCTTTCGCACGCAGTCGCCCACGGCATCTCACGGCTGAGTCAACGTGGCTTCCCAAACATGCGCCAAGATGCTGATCAGGTCAGGCATGATTTCTATCTCCGTCTGCATCTGGTCGAAAATGTTCTCGCGGGCTGGTGAGCCAGGTGTCAGAACTGCTAGTTTGGGGTCCGTGCTGCTGTTGCTGGGGGGACTGACTGGGCGCCCTAACGGCTCATGCAACACAAGCGCCTCTGCGGACACTATGTCTCCGCAGTTCACACAAGCTTCCAGGACAGAGTTGTAGGTCATTGTCCTGTGGGGGACCTGAGTACGTGCATTAGTAGGTGCATTAGGCGCCGAATGGCAGAGGAACCCGCTCGAGATGCACGTGCAACTCTCGAGTGTATCCGAGGGCCCAGCACCTTCCTCTCGCATTTCGTGGAAGAGCTCCAACACATTCTCCAAGTCCTTGTGGAAGCAGTGGCCTCGAAGATGCTGAAAAGGGAAAGTGTGGAACCGCCTTGGCGCTGGCAAGCGTGCCTTTGATCATGGTGCTGTAAACAGCAGTGTCGCGATGCATTCCCCTGGCACCTGGGTTTGCGGCTTGCTGAGCATGCGACAATGAATTTGCAGTGATTGCAAGCCTGCTGCTTCCTAGGAAGATGCCCTGGCCCAAGAAACTCAAAAGAAATTTATCCCTCAGTTGCTTGTGCAGCCGCATGACGCATCCAACTGAATACCTCTGCGGCCTCCTGGATGTTGCCGCGCTTTACATGTGCGTCCAGCACGCAGAGGTATGTCACCACGTCGCAGAATCCTTTCTGTTCCTGGCCAAGCAAAGTTTGACTGATTCAGAATGAGGTCCCTGCGGCAGGCCTCCATTTCGTCCCAGGCCGCCAGCACCTTGTCCAGGTCGGCGGCGCGGCCATAAGTCTTGAACAAAAAGAGCCGCAATTTCTGATTCTTGCAAACTTAGAGGTGCCGCGCACCACCACACTAACAAATTGATCAAGTCAGCCATCGAGACTCAAAGGCTGAAATCGAGGTTCCGCCTGGGTTCCGGCACAGTACACCCCCGAGATCCACGTGTCCACGTGTCGAGCGAACATTTTGGAAGCCCGCGGCTAGTCGATAGCACACACCCGATCCACGTACCGACCATCATCTTGAACCACACCACCCCCCCTCACCCATGCTGAAGGGCTCGCAAACCATATCTTTAGGGTCGAGGTGTTGTCCATGAAGCCGTGTGTAAGCAGCGAGAAAATCATGAGTAAGGCTGGCATAGGGGACGTGTCTGGTCGACCATTCGGCACACAAAAGCCCCGTGTGAAACACTGTAGCTAAACCTGCGCGCCGAACACCGAAGATCATCATGTATGTCGAGGATTCTGGCAGGGACGTGTGTGACTGGTGGCGTTTTCGCTCTGCAGCTTGTTGGGCTCCGAGCAAACCACATCACTTTGACGTCGTCGCCGATTTTGAAACATGCCCTACACATTTGCAGGGTCACGGCAAACAAGCCACGCTTTCACCACCCCCTGTACAACTGCAACCGCAACAACAGCTGCATACTAGCACTATACATTATCCACTACTATTTACCACTGCTAGCACTGCCAGCCTCACAGAATTTACATTGTGGCTCAGAGACCGCACTTTCTTGCTCATTTCGAGCTCTTGGCTGCCCTAAGGCTAGGGCGTTCAGGGAAGTGCAGGGACTTGAGGGAACAGGCCTGGGGCACAAAAGCGGCAAGAGGCAAGTGGCTACTCCCGATGGCTCGCCTACGTGGAGGGTTTGGGGAGCGGTAAGGATAAGCGGCCTGAATCCTGTCATCACAGTTCAGATTCTTTCCCTTGATCAATGGGGCTTAGGATTTAGGGGACTGAGGGTTCAGGGTTTAGGGTCTTATTATGTTCTGCGTTAAGGTCTCTACATGCCTGTCTTACTTGTTACGAATGCGTACTGTATGACAGAGGCCTATTTACTACTGGCGACAGCGCCCTGGCTCTTCGGACCATCAGCCCCACTCCGGCATAGGATCCAACCACCACCAGCTGGGGAAAACCTTCTACCCTGAACCCCATACGGCTCTGGACCCTATAAACCCTAGCTTCTTCGAGCGACTTCGATAGGGGTGGCGTTGCTTAACTAAGGAGGTCTGGGTGTGCAGCAAGGTGGCATACACCCACGCAGCCTCCTCCTTGCCTTCCACCTTCACCAAGTCCAGCTGTCTGCACCTGGGAGGAGTTGACTCCTTCGCGATTTCGGCGGCGTTGTGCATAGCACAATCAAGCTTGTTCCCTCTGCAAGCCTTCACTACCACCCCACGTAGCTCTTGCCCTGCACGCTGACTCATGTGTTGCACGGGGACCATCAAGCCATAAGGCGCGCAGTGATGTTGCAATTCCATCTGGCTCTCTTTTGTAGCTGACTTTCAGTGGTTGCGGTGTTCAGGATTTCAGCGGGGCAATCGCGACTATCCCTAGCTGCTGTCTAACATAGGCGCCTGAAGCCGCGGACTCCTGTTGACGCAGGCTACGGCAGGTTGACTGTTTGCTGTGACACGTTGCGACACTGTTGCTCAAGACCCCGAAGCCTCACGGGGAAACCAAAGCCATTAAACAGAAGCCTGCAACTCGACGCAGTTTGGGTGTCCTGCCCCACTGCGGCGCACTTCCTTGACGATGGCTCCTTCTTGCACAAAGGGAATGTAGGAGACTGTGTGAGGTCGTCCAGGGCTGTTGGTGTTCTCAGACTCCCACCAGTCCCACCAGTAATAACTTTGCTCTGGCACCTGCAGCAGCAAGGTTGGCTGGAGGACTCTGAAAACCCTCACACCACAAGGAGCAAAATCATCACATCACCATGAACTCAATGTGTTCCGTTTCAACTCTTGTGAGACGGACATTTGGTAGGATCTACTCGCACGCGCAACTGCTATCATTTTGCTAACCACGGCAAGCACCCGCCGAAGTCCCCAGTCTCAGATGTTTGGCGGTGATCGAGTCAGCCCACCTCTAGATTCCATTCCTGGCTGCTCGGCACCCCTACATGGGCCTCCTCTGAACTTCTGTGGACCCTCCATGGGGCGGAGGTGTTTAGGGCTGCCGCCCCCTTTTCTTTGCAGTTTTTGTTCACATTTCCAGCTCCGGGCAGGCTAAATAACGCTAAACATGGCAAATCACGGTGGCCTTGTGGACCTCAGGGTCACCGCTACGGCCTCTCCTATGATCTCTTTTCTGTGAGCCCTATACAGGATACCATGAACCTGCATTCTATGAAGGGCCTCCATGGCCGCCGACTGGCGCTTTAGCTGCCTCAGCTGTTAAAAACGTGTTTGTCGAGGACTCGCGCGCTGATAGCCTGTGATAAGATCCCAAGCGCCCCTGTCACACACTGCAAAATGCAAAGCAACTTGTACCTCAGAGCGCACGGACGCTGACCTACTTCGTCAAGCTTTGCGAGCCCTGCGCTCGAGGCTTCTACAAAAGATGGCCAACTCGCCAGTGCCCCGAACGCGTCTGGATTCTAAGTCTACGAAACGACTCTACCCAACAACCCACACCCAAGCCCGATCTGACATCTGAGGTTGTACTCCCATCTGAGCATCTTTTTTTCATCGTGTGGGGTGTTGTAATGGCATGGGTATCCTACGCAGGCCTACGCGTCAGCCCATGTTTAGTAGGCGCGCGGCCTACGCGCGGAGTATGTTGTTGACGTGTGCCTGCGCGGACCTACGCGGCAAGCATAGACAACCTACGCGGACCTGCGCGCCCATACTGCATAGACTTGCCTACGCGGACCCTACGCAAACCTACGCCCTGCAGGCAAAAAGCTACGCGGCCGACTTTCAATCATCGCGTCTCTACGTAGCCTTGCTCCTAGAAAAAAAAAACGCTGCGCATCTGCTGCAGACGTCAACCCGAACTGCCATGGTGCCCTTTCTTGATCTCCACAAGGTCGCGCAAACGGCCTGGGCGCATGTGGTGCACATGCGATAGACCTGTCAACCTCGCAAGCAATAGATACAAAGCCCACACTGCTAAAGAGGTCAGTAAAGCGCTCTTCTGAAGGAAGGAGGGGGAGGTGGGTGGGCGGGGCACGTCTGAGACGCACGCGCTCGATGTGGATGGTGTGCTCCGGACCCAGCACCTCCATGGTTGAGTCACAGCGCTTGCGGCTTGGCCCAGAAGTCTTTGCGCTGTGCGCTGGGGGATGCTTGCTTGGCTTGCTGCAAGTGGCTTCTGTATACACGTGCCAAACCTCAAGACTCCTGTTTCCATCCCTTGAAGAGCCCACCTCGTTCTTGCTCAGTCGCTGGAGCACCTCTATGTCCATCCTTGGAAGCTCAAGCCTAAACCCTGAATGTCGGCATTCTCCGCGAGGTTGAAATACCAGCGTGGGCCCATGTATAAAAAGATCTGTTGAATTCAAAAGATCCTTTGGGACGCCTTTGAACCTTTCTAGACTTCGAGGTAAACTCGGGGCGCTCTATTTGTGCAGTTTCGCTCTTCTTGGTTTCAATTACCTTATGCCCGTCCCTCGATTCACGAGGCGCATGTCTATTCACTCGAGATGCTCAGAATTTCATGACTCAATCTTACTTCCGACATTCAACCCTGTTACTGCCAAGATAGTACTAGGACCCATAAGGAGTACCCTCACAAGTTGCTGCACAAAGCGCAAGCAAACATAACATTGCAGACTCTGTGGTCAATTCCGAAATCCCTAAAACTTTCGTCCTAGACCCAATTCAAAAAGTCTCATAAAGACCTAGGCGCAAGAATGTGAGCCCGTTGACATGCCCCATGTCCGCCTGGGCACAAAGCATTGATTCTCGAGCACATTTCTACAGGTAAAACTTCAGTTTCTTGTTCGCATCTGTGTTTGATGCCGTACGAGGAAATTACGCCCGACTGGTCCCTTGCACGTGTTGAAGCTTGACGCACGGCGTCGCGAAATATGGTAGGAGCGTAGTACCTTCCTTTGGGATGCCTTCGCTTCATACCTCCACTCTGGTGACATGTACATGTCGCGGGACTGCTCATCGCGTGCCCGGCAGGCGGAACTGTTTGGACCATGCTTCCACCGCAGACTGCGCCTTCCGCGGATCGAGAAAGACAGTTACCAGCTTGACCAGATGATGCTCTGTGAAGTCAACATGCACGACTTCAAACGAGCGTGGGGGCCGGGGTGGGGTGGATGGGGGGGAGCGGGGCATGGCATTTGCAAAAAACTTACCGACACGATGGTCACCCCGAAATCATTCTAGTTGAGCAATGACTGCAGAAGATCTGGTGTCACAGAAACATGCTCGGCTTCAACAACAGATTCGTGCAATCTTACAGTCTAGAATGAACCACGAGGAGATGATTGTTTTTCGCTGATGGATGCTGCTCGCCTGGGCAGGTTTGCATTACTGGGGCGCTGACATTTTTAGGACTCTTGAAGGAATGAATCTTACTGCCACTTACTCCTAAAAGCCGCAGCCAACTGGGAATTATATTGAATTGCCCGGATGGTGGCCCAACTGGGGCCTCCTGGCAGGTATCAGAAAACCAATGCGAAAAGCAAACCCTAAACCCTAAACCCTCAACCCTAAACCCTAAACCCTTTAACCCTAAACCAACTATGGTTTGAGGAGTTGTTTTTGAGGGACATCCACAGCGTAGAATGGCATCACATGGGCCCTTAGATCTCGGCGATCTCGCGCATTCGGCCTGGGCCCACAGGAGACATGGGGGAGAGTGAAAGAAAGCCAGAGCAAAAGAGAGAGAGAGAGAGAGAGAGAGCGAGAGGGAGGGAGAGGGAGAGAGGGAGAGAGAGATGGAGAGAGAGAGAGATGGACGGCCGGGGGAGAGCGGGAGAGAAGGATACAAGACAAAAACTTGTAATTACTTCGCTTCGAACGTCCCCGCCCTGCAGGTAAGGAATTCGCAGGCTCACATTGTGGGGTCGGGGCACTCCATGAATCCGGGGTTGGGCGCTCCAGGGACAGTCTGGGGTTGGGCGAGGACTAGACCGCGCGAGGAGAAGAGTTTAATTCAAAATCTAACAACCCCACACCGAGGGCTGGGAACAAACAAAGAAGAAGGAAGAAACAATCAACAGCGAAGGGAGACCAATTGACAGAGCCGAAATGCACGAGAGATTCTGCACATGCCTTGCAATACTTTTGAGTCGTAGCATCTTGTCTGGGATGCCCGCTCATGAGCCTCGCCTCAGCTGTAGCTTTGCAATAACATGCATGATGCCAAGAAAGCATTAATAATACTATGTATACTGTTCGTCATGTTAATAGTATTCGCCTCGGCTTTGTGCCGAGAAGCGTCCGGAACAAGCAGACCCGGACTTGCCCCATGCGGATTATTTACAACGCACCCCCCCCCCCCTTCCCTGTGTGGGACCCCACCCCCCCACCCCCCCACCCCCCCACCCCCCCACCCCCCCCCCCCACCCCCCCCCCTCCCCCCCCAACGCCCCCCCCCCCCCCAGCCCCATGACACATCGCTGCAAACCTCACTACACCCTCAGAACACCTTCTCCTGCCGTTACTAAGCGTTTGGAACAAGCAGACCCGGATCCGGTCTCGTGCCCACTTACCCAACCCTTTTTTCCGCGCAGCAAGATTTTGCCCCAACCCTTCCGCCCACTGGGACCCTCCTGAGACCCCCCTGAGATCTAGAAGACGGTTTCAGGCAGACGTCATTTTCTCCGCGTACTGCATGCTCTGGGCCGGCCCGGCTGCCGAGGTGCCGCGCGCAAGCGTTTACAACTACTAACACTCAGCCAGGTTGAGCTCCTGAAGGCATGGTCTCAGGTGGTGAAGGCGATGAGCGGGCGATTCTTTGTGGGGTTTAGTTCCATCATGCCAAAACATGGATGCCCAAAAGCAGGAGTCGGTTTTAAATAAGGCCCCGGCCATCGCGGTTGAAATATTGCAGTCTGCACACTGTTGAGCCAAAAGGGAACTGACAACAAGATTTATGGTCCCAAGCTTCACCCTGTGAAGAACCTTCCAATTCCCTCATGACGTCCCTGAAGGCAATCTATGGCTGAGTCTCTTCCTCACGGCCCTCACTGCCCTCACTGCTCCCCCACGCCCTCCCCGCCCTCCAATGACGCCGCCCCTCCAATGACTCCCAGTGCCCCCACCCTCTTGAAGTCCTCGGTTCAAGTAGTCGTAAATAGACAGATAGATAGATCAATAGATGTCAAGACCTCCAGTGTACCTCCAAACCCCACCACTCTCAGTGCTCCCCAGCGCCCTCGCCGTCCTCCAGTCACGCCCCCCCCCCCCCCCACCCCTGAGTGCTGTTTCAACATCATACGTAAACATACATGCATGCATCTGTTTCGTGTGTTTTTTGAGAGCATAAAATCACGGTCGAAATCCGGCTGGTGCTGTCGTGATGATATAGAAGACTTTATCCCTGACCCACAACGTGCTACACAAAACAAAGTGCATAATTGCCCCACAAGCTGAAGGGTACCCACAATGCCACGGCCCAGGAAAGGCCCTTGCTGCACTGCATGGCAGCTGCTTGAATATACTGCCTCGAGCCACGCACTGTGTAAACAACAGCTTCACCGGACATGAGACTGACAACAGGAACCCTACACACCCACCCACACACACACACACGCAGAGAGAGAGAGAGAGAGAGAGAGAGAGAGAGAGACACACACACACACACACCAAAGACGATAATAGAAGCCCTACTTCATGCGCATCTTAAAATGTGTTCATTTTTGAGCGCGTGTTCTGTACGCAGTGCAAGCTCACACCGTGCTGCGTACAGATCCTCTGGATAAAGCCTTCTCTTTGCCTTCAGTTGAGGATGGAGGTTCACCCAGGCAGCTCCGAAAAAACTGTCCTGGAAGAAAGAACTGTCATGGGGGGACGGGAGTCTCCGACGGCACTGGTACCAGTCGATGGTCTTGATCCAGGAACGGCCGGTAACCTATTTTGCAACAATCACGTGCAAAATGAGCGGGGATGACAAGCAACGCGCAGAAGAAGCCTCTCATTTTTTGCTGACTTGCACAAACACTCTGAACACAGTGTGGAGGTCGGTCCGGCCGGTCTGTGCCTTTGTGCAATTCACACGGGTATGTCGACTGCATCTCTCATGCCTTCGAGGGACTCCAGTGTTGGCAGTTTCACTGCCGGCCTTGCCTGGGCCGCTCAGCTGTGTCTCGATGTCTTTTTGCTGATAGTGGTCAGCTCAGCCGCACAGAGGGGGCGGGGGATCCTTCAATTCAAAAGAGGTGATCCCGTGAAACGGGGAAATGCCGAGCATGGGGCCCTGGGCAACATTGCGAGTTCAAAGGGCGTTTGATATTTGGAAACACTCTCGCCCCTGCAGTGCTGCTTTATGATCTGCCTGGTTTGGCTCAGGGTTGAACGTTTAGGGTTTAGAGTTTTGGGGGGTTGGGGGTTTAGCGTTGAGGGTTCAGAGTTACGGTTTTGGGTCTAGGGGCGCAGGAGGTCAAGGCTTGTTGTTGACATGGGTGTTAGCGCCAGGCCCACCAGTCGGCCAATTCGTGCCGGTTCAGGTGAGCAACCTTCACGACAATGCGCTCTTCCTGCAGTTGGGAAAGCTGCGCAGTCGTCAAAAGAGGGGCTTGCACCAGCAACTAGACAAAGGTCACTCAGGCCAAAGCATCGATCATGACGCGGTAGCCGGCCGGGCAAGAATTGGCGATGTCGTCTTCGGCCTCAAAATACGCAACGGTTCGTCTCTCCAGTTTTTGAGGCCTGAACAGCCACCATCACTCCCGGAGCCCCAAACTGGCACGCAGCCTACCGGCGTTGGGTAGATAAGGTTTAAAGCCCTTGGCCTCAGACTACAGTACCTTTGCATTGCAACCCTTGGCCGTCCACGATCTTGAAAGTCAGGAAGAGCTCCATGAATTGATCAATGGCGCTTTCCTGCCGCAGTCCAACAAGCACTTGCTACACTGGCACATTGGCGTGGCACATCGTTAACTCGACGTACTCCGAACGTAAGTCTGCACGCTTGCCGGTCGGAGCCACATCACGGGCCTTGGGTGTTTTTGTCACCAACGCCGCCATCTTGTCGCCTGGAATCATTCTTCTGGTCGTTACACTCTGTCTAAGACTCTGTCAGGCTCAACTCTCCGGGCGGCCGCAGCACTTGCAAGACATGCTCAAGCAGACTTCAGCCCAAGAAGAGTGCAAGCAACACCGCAAAATTTTGGTAACTAAGCTGCGCCTGTCAACATCAATGAGCATCGAAAATTCTTCGCCCCGAAAAAGGAAGCACAAAAAAGAGCTGATGTGCAATACCTTCTGTTCTCGGAGAGTGTTGCCGTCGGAGACTCCACATGCACTGTTTGGCTGCATTGTTTGGCGGGGCCCCAAAGCAAGAGTCTCCATGCTCCGTCGCGGCGCGTGATCTGCCAATGGAGTCTGGCTTACATGGTCTGGAACGGGTTGAACAAGGTTTGGTGCGTTCTCGGTTTGTGTCTGCAAGACCTTTACTTTAGGGATCTTTAGGGATCTTTAGGGCGTAAGCACTGCAACTGCTCCACGAGAGCAGAGACAGTGCTCGGACGCCAAGGAGGGCACCCCATCGCGAGCTGCGTGACCTGCGCGACCTGCACGCGCCCCATACTGTGTCAAACATGACTTGCACGGCAGCCGCGCAAAGAACATACACATCTTGCATGAAGGCACGCAGCACGGACACCTTTTTCAATGACACCCATGATCACCGCTAGACGTCACGCCTGTCTTGGAGGCGCAAAGGTGTCAGTCAGGGGAACACCTTCAAAGAGGAAGCTGTCCTTCCAAGCCTTGCGTCGTAGGCACTCGACGCTGTCGTTTCATGAACTTCTCATGAATTGCATCCCTTCCGCTCACTTCGGCTGCGTACCAAGATCTCCGAACATCCTTGTCTTCCTTGAACGCGGCTGCAGCCTGATACTTGGAGTCGCGGAGCGTGCGACACCAAGAGCCTTCGAAGCGCTTTGGCAACGTCTCGCCACATGGCTGCGCCAAGCTGACGAGCAAAATGGCTTTCAACCAGATTTTCCCATTGATCGTCCACTCCTCCTTCTCCCAGCTCACGTCGCCACATTTCCTTTCGCCCAGCTATCTCACATGACCCAAACGAACAGGTGCATCGCAGCTCCGCCTAGTCAAAACTGAGGCAAGGTCCGCTGAACAAAATCGTTCACTGCATTATGCGGCTCCCGCTCCTCGAGGTCAGGCCTCGTCCGCTTGGGCAGCGACATTGCCGGCAGCGGCAAAGACGTCCCAGGAGTACCCCCACGCTGTTGTTGAGATCACATGACATCCCATGTTAGCGGCAGCTAGTTGCTAAATCCATGAGACATGAGGGTATGCCACTCGCAAAAAGTCGCAAGCACGGCACAGAAACACTGAGTATGTTTGGGCATCTGTGGCTGCGGAAAACCAACAACTGTAAACGACAACGCCACATTCTCCGATAGTCCAGCGCTTTCAGGACGGCGTGCCTCTGCCCAGCAACACCGGATTTCCTTTCAGGGCCACAAACGGGAACTGTTACAAGGTGCAAGGCCTCGCGACCAACAGGCTCCGAGGCATGCCGTGGACTCTCTCTGAACGTCCTGCCCCACGATGCATCCTTGACGTGAGTCCTCGGAAGCTTTCTCGAACAAAGACTGTAGAATGTCCCAGAATTCGCTCACTTGTTGACATGCCATAAAAAGAAGCTCAGCCGCTGACTGGCAAGTCAACGACAGGGTACACGGTCTCGTTTGCTTGATGAGACAGCTGCTGGATGAAGCGTGCCTCTTTCATTCACTTTTTCGGTGCTACCCTAGAGTTTGCCCACCTAAAATCCCCGGGGCATCACCAAAAACGAGATGTCACAAGTAACGCAGGCAAGAAAGACAGATGTTGTAAGTAATGGGGAGAACCTTTGGGGATCTTTGGGGATGCTACAAGTGGTACGTCAACCAGAAATCCATTCTTCAAAGCTGCGGGAGATAAAAGCTCCACACCACTCTATCACAGCGGCCGTCGTGGCCGCAACGATCTTTACAAGAAGCTAGCTTGGAGCACAGATGCCGCCTTTTGCTTGGAAGCAACATGCCGAGCACAGATAGGCAAGGTGAAACTTGCCGTAGCGCATAGTGGGCTGCTGGGACGGGACTATGGGAACGCGGGGTTTGCACTTTAGGGTCTAAAATGTGGGATGTAGGGTGTAAGGGTTTATGGTGGTTTGGGGTGCTTGGGGTGTTTGGCGTTCAGGGCTTCAGGTCCTTCGGGTGAGCAACTTCGGGTTTGGGCCGTAGAGTAGAAGCAGCGAGCGGTCGAAGTTAAGTATGAATGAAGAGGCTCAGTCAAACCCAAGCGAAAGAACTGTGAGTAATACACATAGACAGCAACAAAAAAAAAACACCGCATTGCGGGCATCAGTAGGCTAAGGGTTTAGGGTTTACGGTTAAGAGTCTGGGGTTTAGGGAGAGAGGTAGCAGGCAGCGTCCGCTAGGAGTGACACGTGTTCAGGAGTCCCAGGCCCAGGTCTCGAAATGGCTGGCTTTCAAGAGGCGTTTGGGCGTTGCCTTCGGGGTCTGTAGCTTTGATAGGGTTTAGGGTTTTAGGGTTTGGGCGTTGCCTTCAAACCCTCTGTAAGGTTTTGAACATAGACGCAACTGGGCTTGCAAGCTCGAATGTCACGACTTGTGGAACCACCGAAATGATACTGATCTTAGGGCTGTAGGTTTGTAGGGGATAGGGTGCAAAGTGTAGGTTCTACGGCTTAGGGTTTGGGGTTTGTAGGTTTTTTTTCTTTTGGGGGGGAGGGGGGGTTAGGGTTGCAGGATTTAGGGCTTAGGATTCGGGGTCACGCTTCATTGAGGAGCAGCCTCTCCTTCACATCCGGTTTCGGTACTGAGACACTCAGCGAT